CAACTTTTTTTTCCACTTCTCTGTCTATTCTTCTCCATCTTTTTCCAATCTCCTTGTCTCCCTCCAGTGGTCTCTTGCGAGTAACGATTGGCCCGCTGGACATGCGAATGACGCGCACGAACTTCTAACGAACTTTCACTCTGACATATCCCGAACTTTTGCTGATAGCATCTCTAAAACTCCTGCTAACATAAACTGCATCCATGAAAATTCTACCGCTAACAACCCTTCGGGAGATTCTTGGGTGAAGGATTCTATGTTCTACCGGGCCGGAGTAATCTTTGTTGAATGTACAGGTGATGGGAAGCATTCTACACGCCGTGATTCGGTTAGAGACAGATCTGCAATGCGTTATAGATCTATCCGTACTATATATATAATTCGGGTATCACTGAACCATCCGTCAGTCCGTCACATTCCTGTCTCGTAGACTCCTCGTATTTCCCAACGCCCGTTTACTTCCATCGGTTTGTAAGGCATCGCGACCCAAATAACTGTCTTTAATCGACAGTTCAGTGAAAAGTACGAAAGGAGCGACCACTCTCTCGCCTGCTTATTCACCGGTGGATGATACCGAAGTGATGCAGCGCAGCGCTCCATCTGGTCATTTATCGTCCGGGTTCCAAAGCCATCCGAAATTTTCCTTTAGAAAGGGCAACAGCAAAACAAGATGTTTCAACTAATCATGTTTCAATTAATCGGGACGTAAGCTCATTACTGGTTAGCAACCCTAACATTTGCCGCCGCCGCCGCTGCTGCATACGGTATTATCTCGTTGAAAGGCATCTCCGTAATGACTGGGTAGCGCAGATTCGGTTTACGAACGGTTTAGCGGGAAGTACACGGTGCAAGTATTCATCATCAGTCACCGTTGTTATCGTCAAGACGCCGATGGCAACGGTTCGAAACCGTTCGGAATAAACACGGCTCTTACGAGCATTGTACCTGTCGCCACTAGACGTTTACTCTTCCGTCTTTGACAATTGTTCTAACAAAGGCGTGATAGGTCAGGTTGACCCAACATACAGTGCTGTTTTGCATAGAAGTATCAACGCTACATGTAGATAATTGAGCTGGGGAGGCTTAAATTGCTATCTGATAGATGTAAGGCATGACAAGAAGCCATCTAGGACAGAGGAGAGGTAGTATAGGGAGACTATACATTCAGTTTACATCTAGTTACCCTCATAATATCATAGTCGGGTGGCGATCAGGCGGAACTGATTCGACGTACGCTTCCTTTTACCATTGAACCTAGATGATTCTGAACAAGAAAACATATGTTACGATACGCTGAAATGAGAATTTCCCGTTGCTATACGCATGTCATGATGACAGCCACAATCTGATTGTTCTAAATGCAGTAAATGATAACTATAGAAGTCTGAAACAGTAGTAGCGATTTCAATAACCGAACGAAGAGAACGTCGTTGAAGCGGATTAATCCTGGGGTAAAAGCCACTTTTGCATAAAGCTTCTTGCGTGAGCTGAAAGTCGCAACAAAAATTAACTTGCATGATGAAGAATACCCAGTATGATTACACAAGCTCTGGTTACTCTTCACCCGTATTAATTGTGATCTTCGCTTCTGCTAAGCTGTTAGTTGCAATGTCATATATGAGGCCTGCGCAATTGGCGGCACAGGCTTACTATATGTTATTTATCTTCACGAATTTTCTATTTATCATTTGATATTTACATCGTGTTCCTTAAAGTTTCTTTTGTTGACTAGCAACTTATTTTCTAAAAGTGATAGAAAAGAAATAGAAGTTATTTCTTTTCATGATGAAATTAGTGATTAAGAGGTTTATTTGATGTTTGGTCTGTATCTGGTATTTGAAGTGAACAAAAAGCTTCGTTGCTTTTGATTTGGTAGTGTTTCCTATTGTGTTAGCTGGCTAAACTGACGGCGGGTTTAAGATAACATAAAAAAAAGTCCAGAAATATAGCACCTAACCTTTTTTTGTGACTCGTTGAAGAACAACTGCACAAGTGATCATTTTTCAATATATATATATATATATATTTATATATACATATATATAGATTTTCGTATTCCGTCTTTAAACGACTGGCAATCTAACATTGATCATGCCTTTAGGGTATATAGCATGGAATCTTAGAATATAGGAAATCTCGTGTCTCTTCATCAGCGATCCGGTGCAAGTATCAAATACAGGATGGCCCAAAAAAATGTACGCAGGTTGCATTACTATAATTTCAGTTTCTTTACATGTTACTACTATTTTAGATTTCAAGATTTGAAGCTCTTACACAGTAGTTTTGAGTTATTCAATCAGAAACTTAATTGTAGCTTGTAATTTTTTTTCTGCTTTGGGCGAAGACTTAGCCGCTTAAATATCCCCACAAAAAATGTTTATTGGCGTTGGGTCTGGGGAACGGCCGGGGTATTCCATAGCGCCTTTGTGTCCAACCCATCTGCCTAACAGATTCCTATCAAAATATGCTCTTACATTACGATGATAACATGTAGATGCTCCGTCGTGTTATAAATAAAATTCGCCATTTTTACCGAAGTCCATCTGAATACCGTAGTAGTAGTATCATATAATAAGTGGCACCAGTCACTGTAGTGCCGAAAGAAGTTAGGGTACAGTGTATACGTTCCCTTGGAACACCCTATATATTCGACGGTCTAACGGCCACCAAATTATTCGTCTGCAGCGAACTTGGTCAAGTATGGATGAGTGGAAACAAAAAAACAATCAAAACGTAGAAGCACTCTTCGTTCCAGTTCGGTGATAGGAAATGATTCTGTGATAGCAACAAAATTGTGAGATAATAGCCTGCCCTGGTAACTGGATGCAGGCGAAGCAGTACCGGATTAATTACCATTGAAGTTTAATTCGGCGTAATCGGAATTTGTTGGAATGAAAGGCGACAGAAGGCAACTCCTCTTAACGTCGTTGGTTTACGAGAATCGCCCATCTGAACCATACTATGAAAAGACGCGTCGTGGCTGGGTGTGTTTAATTTATATATAAATTTATTTTTATCTATGAATATAGTTGAATTAACTAATAATAAAGTGTTTGACTGGTTCTATTTTTGAATTAATTCTGTATGGGCCAGGTGGGTTAATGTCACAAAGGTATGCCTATATGTTTGCCGAGCTCATTTCTCAATTGAGTATTCTAAGTCATTGTTAAATCTACGTTCTTTTTAGTATCTTCCTCTGAATATATGTATTCCTTTAACTGAATGGTCTGACGTCATGGCGCTAAAAACAAATTATCAAAGAAATCTTTTGCGTTTACTGTATTAATAAACCTTGAGTTATATATATATATTTGCGGAAGTTTCCTTACTGCAGAGATTATTCCAAAAAGCTCATCATCGACAAGAAGCATGTTTAAAGTCTTACCTCCTATTATAGAAAGACTTTGATTCGAATAGATAAAACAATTCTTAACATTCAAGCCTTTATAATTATATCGTTACAAACCAATGTCTCTGAACGACTTACAAACTTTCTTCCATCCTCTCGAGTAGATAGTCTTATTAAAACTTGACAAAACGTTAGGCCTCAGATGATCGCAAATGATTAGCAACATATTAATCAATAATCGCTCTAGGATGATAAGTTGTATATACAACTTGTAGCGACTTGTATATACAAGTCGCTAACATAATCGAGCATGATAAAAGAAAAATCGACACGCATCTACTAAAAATGATTTCACTGCTTTATTACTTCCTAACCTTCAGAAGCTCTATTTCTTTCATAAGGTAATTAAAAATAATTATCTTTCAATGCATCTATCTATCTATCCCAAAATATAGCGAATTATTACATTACTATTTTCGTTGAAATATTCTAATAAACCATATAATGTATATGGCACCTCATAGTCTATAATATCCCATCTCAATACTAAAGGTGCTAATCAGACACATTTTTTTTTAGTCTATAAGCTTGGAGCATGCTTACGTACCACTAGTACGGAAAATCACTGAAGGTTAACAGCATTGAAAATCAGAGAAAAATCGTCGAAGTCAATAGTTAACCCGAAACTACCAAGGTATCCAAAACCAAGCTAAGTTGTAAACAATGGCTAACATCAGATGTTACTCGTATAATCGAAATTTATGTTCAAAATCCAAATCATTATGGATACATATTTATTTTCCTCTATTAACGTAGACAACAATATTTTTTTTACAGATAATTTTCCGAATGCGTGATGCATATTAGTTACCGGTAGCTGATGGTGTGAGACTCGCAAATTCAACAAAACTGGGCATGCGAGTTCCTCCTCCCGCCCCATTTTTCAATCAATATGCCTCGACTCCGTCAGCATTACTTTGATAAGGATAACCATATCTCTAGCTAGCAGACAGAGTCATTACTTCGAGCAACTCGCTGGTGCTACTGATATAGGAAACGCCATTATTTATTGTGGAAAAGAGGTACTGTCGTCATACGGAAGCCTGTTTTTTTTCATAGAAAAACGGTTAGATAGACTCAAAATGCTCTAAAATATGTAACCGGTAGTGGAATTAATTTTACATATCAACTAGAAATTTGAAAGGGCGAACCTAAATAATACGCGCTCTTATATATATATATATATATCATCTTTTTGCGTGATCTTTGTATCGAAAAGCACAATAAAATCTCGAATGGCCGCTTCAAAATCAGAAGAGTCAATAAACTAACAATTCTGTTTTAGCAGATTTACCATTATTGTATAAAGAAAAGTAATAATAAAGGAAATATATAAAAAGAAAAAAGGTAGGTAAAAAATCTTTAACGTTTTATTATATAAGCTTCAATAGTAAGCTTTCTTTTGATGAACCTATTGGCTTAACTGTTGTAAACCCTCATCTTAACAAAGCAACGTATATTGTATAAACAGTTAAACATTTATCATATATACAGTAACTATGCAAGTGACTATCTAAATTGAAGTTTGAATCATATTTAGCTACGTTTATACGAGTATTTTTAAAATCATTTGTGAAAATAGGTTTCCTGGCATTTACCGATGCGTATTTTAAACATCTGTATGTGATGTTGATCATTTTCAAGACATAGTAATGGCCACCGTACTGGTATATAAGTGAAGCGCCCGTTCCACTTAACCAAAATAGTATTTTCTGGCATGACAAAAATTAACAACTTCTCCGATTTTCATTTACGGAAATCAGCCAAAATCGAATGTCATCGAGCGGTTAACATTCTGGAAAAATGCGAGATATTGTCCAAGATGTCAGGTACTCGAATTATGTCTGAGATATTAAACATTTGCAAAAAAGTTATTCAGAAACAAAATTCGCTTCCCTGACTTTGTTTTTTTTTCTTCACCTATTTTGATAATGTAAAATAGTTTTTTTGTGGCAAAGCGAAATGTCCAACTACTCCCAATCATTGTCTCTTATGAAAACTTCAACAAAAGCCAAAAAACGGATTTAAATGTTCGCGCGTGCCAACCTCGAAGTGGACCCTAATCGCTTCATCCCGACTTACTCTTGTTTACGCTATCACACAGCCACCAGTCGTGACTCGGTGGTGACGACGACGACGACGAAACTTTTACTCACTCTTTCTTCTTGCAACAGCCTCTCCCAATGCCCTGTTTGTTCATTTAATGAAAACAAACTGTTCTGTGCTCGCAGACGATACGCGCCGTGCAGCAGCAGGCGCCGCAGCTGGTCGCACCATTCGCTCGCTGGCTGCTGTTCACTCAGTGTTGTTTGTTGAAACAGTAACGAACGACGTCGATATACTATTCCTACTGCGGCGGCGGCAGCAGCAGCAGCACCATTACGGGCGTCGATGTAAAAGGGCTCTGAGACAAGTGGCAGGCACAGCAAAAGGGCGCAAGAACAGGCAGCTTCCACGGCAGCGAAGCACCACAACGGGTGCACTTAGGCCGTGCTGTGCAATCGGCGTGCGGCGGTCTTCCGAGCAGTAGTGGCACTAGCGTACTCGGTACTCGCAGTGTAGCGAGGCTGTACTCATCAACCGTTATATCATCGGTCGTCTCGTGACCGCATCCGGCTTCCCAGCTTCGACGCTAATAAACTTTCGAGTAAACCGCGAGATACCAAGCGACGCAGACGCAGCAAGTCAGCGATTGTTTCCGCGCCCAATGGAGGTTCAGTATCGTGAAGCGGGCCCTTCTATTAGGCTCCCGCCAACGTCCCCTTCACATTTGTAACGATAGGCAACACAACAGCCGTTTGCCAGTCAGTCAGTCAGTCAGTCAGTCAATCAGTCAGCCAGCCAGCCAGCCAGCCACCAAACCAGCACTCTGGCGTCACTAGTTGAACGCAATAGCAGGCCGAGTCAAGTCAGAAAAAAAAACAACAATCTCGATACAATTAATTTCTATTGTTATTTGGCCTAGTCGACAGTTCCACTAGGCAGTTAGGCAGACAGTTTTGTCAGACTAAACACCGCCGAACAGACGGAATAAAAACGAAAATCTTATTAGTCGTCCATCAGCTGGTGAATCCGTCGTTCTTCAGTCTGAGAATTTGTATGGTTCGTGTCGTATCGCCAGCCACAGCGTCAGCCCTAGCAGTATTACTGCAAGTTATAGCAAAAAAAGCAACGGTGTTATCAGCGGGATTTTTGCTTCCAGTTCCCCAGCAGCCTCTGTGCCAGCAGTATCACTCGCCAGCGCTAATTTTTTTGCCAATTTGCAATATCACATTTTTGTTTTTCTGTCTGCGGCGCGTCGTGGGGTAACTGGCGTTCGACGCAGTCGACTGAAATAACCGCCTCGGTATGTGTTATGGTTAATCGGCAAACAGGCCGTGGCAGTTTGTGGCCGTCGCACGATGATCGCAGACATACAGAAAGCGGACTGAGATATAGTCGTATTGATGATACGATACATGACTCACTTATCTATCATTTCGTTGAGTCTAAGTAGATGTTACGACTACCCATTGCTAGATATATTATTGTGTCGTGTTTCGTTATTTCGTTAGGAGTCGCAGTTGATCAAGATTAGCCTTCGTGGTCCCGCCTGTGGTGCATCAGCAGCAATTAATCGGCCGTGCTGTTCTTATCATATTGCCGAAATAAAAAGTCAACTATCCACAAAACGAGTAAGGAATTACAGTAGGTCGTCTGATCAGACTGAAACAACAGTTCTATTGGTGAAGCTACTATTGAAGTCCACCGGCATCGATGCTAGCCGCACGGCAAGCACAAATGAAACGGTACGGCAGCAACAGCGGTCAACGACAGCACCAGTAAAGTATCACCGGTCGGCAAAATAAAATTCTGTCATCACTCTAATAGCAACGAGTTTATAGAAAACAGCTGGGCCATTTTTCCTGGCAACACCGGTTCGATTCGCCATCAGCGTTAAGTCATATGTGTTCGATGAGTAGGGATACAAAGGGCGCACAGCTTTCCCGTGAATCGTTTTGCTTTGTTTTTATCGTAGTAACCCAACAGGAAAATTACTCCCTCCCCTAGCGACACGTTACGTTCTACGCGCTACACATCTGCCTCGAAAACCTTAACGGCAACGACGCGACTCGTCGACCGTGTCACCCCCGTGTTCGGCGGGGTCACAGTGCAACGATCAGTGGAAGACCTGCGCGGTTTTCCGTTGCGGTGTTTGTGCTCGATAGATACCTCTTTGTGTGCACAGGCCAGTAAGTGAGGTGCGAGTTAACGTGTTCAGTAATCGTCCAAACAAGAAAGGACTCACGTTCATACACGAGCACGATGAAGGAAAAGCCCAATTCCACTAGGACCTACGACAAGGATGGATTCCGACGTCGAGCGGCCTGTCTGTGTGTACGGGACGGCTTTGAAACTGAGGTGCGTATTAGACGTCGCGTATGTCTCTTGTACTGTCGCATATTCGTAGACTGAAGTATTACGAACTATGCTTAACGGTAACGCCGAAGTATCTGTTTTAGAGTGCATTCGTGAAGCCCAAACATAACTGGAACTGCACGCGGGATCCCGACACGATACTAAATAGTAACTTTCACTATTAACAAGTGCTTAACCGAATGCTCTATTTTCATTTGTTCGTATACAGAATTGCATTAACCTTTACAATTTCGTCATATTAACGTTTATGATAGAATGTTTGTTTTATTATTACAGTAGAAGTTGTTGCCGATATTATAATTTTTACTATTCTGTTTTATAAAAGGTTTTCCTCAATATTAACGCCGTTATCGCCTGCTTGATCGTATGTATTAACAATGTTGTCATGTTCTCGAGAGAGTATTAAGCGATGCCAGTCGAACCCTCTCCCGTTTGAGCAAATGCCGATCTTTCTGTACATATCACTCTATTATGCTGCCCTTTGACCTCACTGCACTTCTACACTGAGTGGCCAGAGATTATTGTTATTATTACTACGTATAACATACAGCAGCCGAATGAGAGGTAGGTAATACTGTTGTGAGGGCCAGAATATACTGATCAAAGTTGGAGAATTTTTACAGCTTCTCATCTGCTTGATATGCAAAGAAAGAGGCGAACTACCAATGGCTACGTATAGCTACTGAGCCTGTGGCGATGGGACCGGGCGGCGCACGGTCCGCTAAGTTTTAGGGGTATTGACGACATTATTAAAGACACCGTTCATACTACAGAGAGGTATTTAAGCGCTGCAGCCTTTATTTTCCTTTCGACGTCACAAAAATTAAACAGTAAATGGCCTGTCATTTTTCCCTTTGTTGGGACGCTACACTTTGTTACTGTTGCCACATAGCAGTGACGTCATTTGCGCGTATAAATTCACTGGCAGTACCACGAGGAAGTTGGTCTTCCTTGCTCTTGCGTCGTGGTAATTACCCCCAATAGTTGACCATCACAACCTGACCCAGTGTCTATCGGGTGTCCTCCTAGACATTTACCCATTTCAAACGCTGTAACACATAGTTGTACATCTATTTACTTTGGTGCACCTACCAATTTACATATTTCACTGCGTCTTGCCGTGTTGGCCGTTCGTCTCATTGTCGTGCGCAGAAGACACGTTCATTTGCACCCACACATTGCTCCGCTGCTAAGATGATTTGTACTACGCTCGACGCGAGACTGGAGTAACGAGAAACTGACTAGACAGAAATTCCGTTCTGTAGTACTGCTGTTCTTCGCTAACTGTGGCAGCGTCCGATGTTGTTGGTATTATCCTCCACCGTTCGCATACAGTTTACTGCAGGAGCACTGCTTCTATTTGCCGGCTTACTTGTCTATTTCAGGTTTTGGGTGGTCGTCCTTTGCAGTCGTCTATTGGCTGATGAGTGGCAGCAACCACAGGTCACTGCTAGTCGTCCTGCACTCGTCCGTGATGCTGGTACCCATGGCCGGACGCCTGCGAGCGCAGGACGAAACGGAATGGTCGCCCTCGACATCGTCGGCGCTAAACGACATAGTAACGTGCCACCGATCATCAAACTAGCGACCAACAGCGGCAGCAATAGTACCAGCCGTGACGCTCGTTTGTCTGTTGTGTCTGGTGACGGTAACTGCCCGATACATACATGTTTGACTGGATTGGCCTGGCCTGGTTTGACGCTAGTTATCAGTGGTCGATTGCTGCGGCGGACGTTTCGGCCTTCGCTGCCGATGCTGACACTGGTCCCTCCTTTCATTCGTCGTACAGTTAATAGGCAAACGGACAGATAGGCAGGCAGAATTGAAGCGATATCCATACCACGCCAGTATTACCGTGTTCCCGGTGGTGCAAGGGTGAACCAGTGTAGGGTTTGATAGCACCTTTGTGCCGGCCCATTCGTTAGTCGTCTATTGTATATCGTTGTTCTACTCGAGCCCGAACTGCCGCAGCTGTATCTGTAATCGTGCAGAACTGCTTACCGCCATTCGGTCGCCATTGCTTCGCTGTCGACAGCCTCAACAGCCAGTTCCAGCCGTCTCGAGAAACCGTAATAGCCACCGTACTAGCCCCCTAAAATTTTTTTACCGGCCTTGGTGTCTGGCCGTCGAAAAGAAGACGGATAGAAGACAATATATATGGACAGCGAAATAACGATTCAGACATACACACGCACTCTGTACGCGAATAAAGCCGCTGCACCACGAAAAGTAACAAAGCTGAACGTACGTAATAAGCCTGGGCGCTATGGGCAGGTGAACCCGAATATCTAAAGCTCTTCAGGGTTGCATAAACATAATCACCCGTGACGATGTCAAGAAAGACATTAAGTGGGTAGTTAATGTTATTTCATTGAAATTCATGCTGAGATGTTAATTCGCTGTTTATATCGATTCGCCAGCATCTTAGCATTTAGCAATGTATATTAATAATGCTTGTTTAGACGACTTGTACTAGTACTATCGATTTTAATTTCACGCGTTGCAATTATTGTGGGTTCACCGGCTTACAGTTGGCCGTTACGATTGGCGATGGCCATCGGGGCAGGCGATTACGGAACAGGCTGCGGGATGAGTGATGCTTCTGGTGGTCAGCTGCCACCAGCAAAAGGAGACCAACAATTGCAAGGGTGTCCGAAAGCTAGACTTTAGCTGTCCATAGAACATGTCTCGGTAACAACGTTAGCAGCTAAGGATGGTCACTGTAAGCGATAATAAAGTCTATGATGATCGCGTTGATGATCACGATAATAAGACATATGTAGAAAAAGAAGTGTGCCCGTCGAAATTGACGGATGTGCTCAAATCAATAAGTGGAAACAAAGCACAATGGTGAAGACAAGTAGAAGGAAAACCATAACAGCCATTCATAGCCCATTGGTCGGAGTTGCTCCTACGGTGCGAAACTGACGTTAGCTGGCATCTAGGTTGATGCACGCGTGACAATTTTGCGGTTACGCGTGCCGCTGCTGATTAAGTTGGGGTAGAAACGTTGCGCTGGTGTCGTTCTAGCCGGCTTCCCTGAGCTACATTAGTGTTCTTTTAGCCTATGTTGTTTATATAATACAGTCAGTATGCAGGAAATTGTACAAGCGATAGAGGCGGCGCTGCGGTTGATATCTGTATTGCTCGAGTTTTATCGAGAGGCGGTCGGGTGGACACTTGCCTGTCTCGGCCATTATCGCTGCAGTTTTAACTACCGCTGATGCGTAAATGGTAAACTTCGTTTAAATGTTGTGAAGAATAAACTCATATTACGGCCATCACGTTTTCCATAATTATCTAAATATCGTGAATTAAGTTAGCAATAATTATGCCATACCTTGAATGACGTTCTAATAAGATAATTCGTCTCACTATAACGTCAGGATTTATTTGATCTGGAACGTTTTAGCTGGTATATCTATTGAGCATAAGATTTCACAGGGGCTAACGCGACTGAAAAGGTACTGAACGGTTCTACTGTAGTGGTACTGTGATATCAGTGATGTATTTACAATTTAAAAGCGTGATTACATATGTACGAAGTATATTTTTCCCAGGATTATTTTTTGTTGAAAAGTTTTTAAGGCGTTGTCTCCATGTCTAACGCTTGCTTAAACGTCACAAGTTGGTTTCACTTTCAACCCTTGCTTTTCCATGAACGGTGCTTCAAATCGTCTGGTCAGTGACTGAGTACTAACGGCTATCTAGTGGCAAAAAAAAGATTCGCATAAGACTACAGGAGTGTCTCGCTCACCCATCAGTGGGTTCTGACCCAGTCCCATAACATTTTCGCGGTCCTTTTTGTTCGTTCTACTGCACGCCTGTCAAGACCTGACAAGAATTACGTCGGCCGTTGAGTTCTCGTTAGATTTAATGTCTTTTAGTCTTTCGGTATTCTATTTCAGTTTGTTTCGTTGACCAACAACCGTAAATTTCTTAACAAGCAATAGCAGATGCAGATACCGAGTAAGTCAAGTAGACGACATCGTGAAAGCTACTACTACAATAATAAATGAACAGACACATCTCGATTAGGTTACTGTCCCGTCACACGGGTAGTGTAGTAATGTAAAACGTATGCATTGATGCGAGCTCTGCCGGTTTCGAGGATGGTGTCGTGTGGGTTAGGCAGGAGGGGATAAGAATCGAGCTCACTTTGATCGAATGGAGCCTGTTCCTTATCTGTACAGCAACGAAAACAAATAGTGAAATACCTGTTATTGAATTGAAGGTAAAGAAATATCTCTGCAAATACTGATAGCTCCTAATTAATTAGAAGGTATGTTCATTGGCAAATGAAATGGCGGATATATTCACATAAGTGTAGATACAGACTTGTGCCGCCTGCCTTAGCAAAGCTAACAACGTACTAGAGAACGAATTTGCTTATTAACGTCTATTGTGGCTCCATAGGTGCAAGGCGTGGCTAGAACCGTGGGTCGATCGAAAAACTGCTATAATAAACTTCAGATACAATAAAGCATTTTTAATTGAATGCAGCTTGTTAAACTTCTAGCGGGTAAACAGTGAATTGAGCCATAGCTGAATCATAGCTACCTAGTGGGTTTTGGTTCTATTTGACTGGGACAAAAAATTCATCTATTAAAATGTTTACAGACGTATTATTAGTTTCTTCAAAAAACGAGACTTTATTATTGAATGTGGGCGGAAACCGGTTTGATTCATCCTTGCAACGGCGCTATCGTTTTATTCTCGTAACGTTATATCAGTTTTGCAGTAACATGTTTATCACTTCATTTGTGTCATAGGGAAGTCTTTCTGAGGCTGAGACATTTCAAAATAAATATAAACGCCACGGAGCTACTGTACTGCTTAGTACATGAGCTACTCTGAGAATCGTGATACGATCTTGTTTCTTGTAGAAAGATTCTTGAGAAAAAATGAACATAAATGCACATTAACCTGGTACAGAATGGTGCTTGGTTGAAGTACAGCTGAAATGATCGCTATCGAAGCAGCTGCCTTATAGAGGCCAATTTCGGGAGACGAACTTGTGATGATAACTATAGCGTTAAGGATAAGGCCTGCGGTAGTATTGCACATGCTTACCAAGCAAATGGGTTAATATTAATTCTGCGAACATCGCCGACTAAACAAAAAAAAACTAGGCTTCAATTAGCTAACGAGCGTATGGAATGTTGTGGAGACCCCTTTCGGTATGTCACCGTTACGACTTAAATGCTATTTGGATGCCATCTCCACAAATGCTATTCTTCTAAGGCGAGACACCACAAGCAGGACCAGCAAACACTCTGTATTACTACGTATCAGTCTGCTGGCTTGCTATCTTAAAATGTCAACGTACGGCAACTGACTTTGATTGGATTTGTCGACTACGTGCAAGTGGTAGCCTGTCGAAGCGGAAGAATCAGAGTTTATATTGGACATCAGAGGAAGCTTATACGGATGGCACGGAGCACATGCATGATTGCAGCTGCAGCAAAATGGCACGATGGCTGTGAAATATCAGAAGAAAGAAAGTGTACTGGCTTATTAATTCCTAACTGACTAGGATAACTGCACCAGGAAGGTGCTGAAACAAGGTAATAAATTCTGTGAGGCTAGGAAATCGAAGTACTTTAGAAAATGATATATCTGATTAGCTACTAGCGCCGATCAAATTTGGTCTGTTCGTGCTAGAAGAGGCTAATGAAATGGAAGGACGCGGCAACTGGGTACCGAGACAGATACAGATAAGGAATCGCAACGGGCAAAGCGAACCTGATAGTTAAATTAACGACAAAGTAGGTGCAAGACGACGACGTCCAGTACTCCTTGCTACCTAGATGTATGTGGTCGTGGCAAGGTTCGCGTTTGCTGCTCACCACTAAGCTACCGCCCTTGAATTTAGGATATCTACAGATAAATGTCAATTAGCTATCGTTAAGTGTAACTGTAAAATATAAGCAGCGTTGTAGTGTAACGATTAAGCAGTGCCTCAGGATTGCTTCCTTGAGTTAGGCTGCACATCCGGTATTGAGGGGACGATTTACCTTAATGTACACTCTGGAAATAGCAGATATTGACGGTAGGACCCTTTATGGCACTAAAAGATGGAATTGGAATAACTATAAGAACAATTTTGGTAAAAATGAAGACGAATGTCCAAAAGTACCACATAGTTGGAATTCGTGATATAGCCAATCTTTAATACCGGTACTTGTACGAAAGCTTAATCCTACGGGTGAAGCTCGAGATGCTCATTTTTCGAAGGTGCGATGGCGTTTCTCTCGTCAGCAGAACGTCAGCTGTTCTAATGGACTACGTTCGTGAGTTTGTCGGAGGCTTGACATCAATTTATACGTTATATTTAATAAGTTATCTGTTCGACGTAGGGTAATTCATCGTATTGAAAGTTTTGCGCTGAGGGCATTGTGTGCTTTTTTCTGGTCACCACTGCATGATTAAGGGCTTAAAGAAAAGAATGCGAGACTTTACAAGTGTCTAGGAGCAAATGGTTGGGTTTAGTTATATTAGAGGGTCCATTTGTCTAAATTCTTAACCAATTAGGTAAACTCAGCTGATGATTCCATTTTACGTGAAGGCGCCTTTAGGTATATATTAAGGTGTTACAAGCGAATTCGACGAAACTAGTTGGGTATAATTTTTAATTTATTCGAGTTGTTCTCCCTTATTTTACGGCCACATAACTATCATTCGGGTTTCCATGTGTAGTTCAATCTATGGGTTTTCGTAAACCTATAGTGAAATATGTTTACTTACCGGCTTCCCTTTTTAGGGGCACAGAAAGTTCCGTCGCCTAAAGTCAGTCCAGGGCAAGCCTGTTGTTATCTTAACGTTTTCAATATTTGTATTATAATTTTATAACACGTTACATGTGGAATACCGGTTAAAAATGCATTTGAGACTCGGTATCTTAGCACCTGCTCGGTGGTCTTAACAATCTATTCTCCTCCAACATTTGCATTAGTCATGTACCGTGCTTTTACTTAAGGCCTTTTTGTCTAATCTCTCGTTGTTCTTGGGGTAAACTCAACTGGTTTTCACTGAAATTCCAAAATTTAGCAGCATAAAGTATTCGTATGTTGGATATCCAAGTGATAGTACAGTCGCTTCCTAATCACTGGACGTAGTCTAGGTTGAAACCTAGCGTTTGTGCACTTCATATTAAAAATCCAAGCAATAGGAGCCCGGAAGAATTTCTTTTCCCGTTCGGCTTCCCCAGGTTGCGCATAATGAGACCCTCCCCTCTTCCACCTACCCTGGTGAACTTTAATACCGATACTGAGGCCTATTGTAGAAGGGGCGACTGAAAATCGGCTAGTGAAGGTGTATGTATGAGGAAGTCATGTACCTTATGTTGTTGGGGTGTCAGAATGTCAATTGATAGAAAAGTTTCAAACGAATGTAGCTTAAAGCATATATTTGCCGTTAAGCTACGACGGTAAATGTGTTATAAAGAGTCACATTGGCATTGGATAACGTCGTTTCGGCGATGAAGATCGTGCACTTATGCAGATCTTGGAGACATCCTCTATCGATTTAGCTTCAATGTTATATGGTAAAATCGGTAACTTCATTCGTACGTCCGTCAAGTCATTCACACATTGATTTGTAATACATTGTTACGTGTCGTAATCTTTCAACACTAATATATGTTTTTGTATGAAAACAAGCTAACATTGCCATTAGCCGCAGGCGGTGGACTGGCAAAACCGCGTTGTCTTAATTTGATTTCGGTTAAAAGGGTCGAAGGTCCAAAACTTCTCCAAGAAATGTAAGTACATTACTGTATACCGTCACCCGACATGTTTTTATGCAAACTGGAAATACAACATAAAATAACGATGCGTTTTTTCTTTGAAATTGCTGCCGTCGACAGCATCTATTAGTTCTTGATATCAACAATGTATTGTCGTTGTACGTGTTACAGATTCTCCTGGTGTCATCGTCATCAACGCCAGATCGGTTTATCGTTCCTGGAGGTGGACTCGAACCGGATGAGGATGCTGAGACCGCAGCCATCCGCGAGGTGATGGAGGAGGCTGGTGTGAAAGGGAAGATCGACAGGTGCCTTGGCATTTTTGAGGTAAGTTAAGAACATCACTGGCTTTGCGTGTTATGGAGCGTGGCAATAGTGAAACTTGACAGTACTTCATTCATGATTTCATTTAATATCTTATGCGTAAATCTAAATGCAACCACTATATAGGGCTGTTAAACATTTAAATCGTCCCAACGCTCTTATAAGATCAACATTTTTTGAACAAACGCACGTGGATGAGGTTTATTACAGAAAGGTTATGGAATTATGTACTGCAAGTATTAACTCTGAAAATATTCATAGTATTGAAGCCTTCATTTATAACTTCAGGTTGTTTATCTTATTAATCCGTATTAACTAGAAAAATTAATGTTGACCACTAAATATCTCTTGCAGTTTTCCTGTCAGTTTTAACCAGTCCCCAAGCGTACTTAGACTTATCACTTCCTTTTTACAATAGCAGTAACTATGAAAGCTGTGTTCGAAGTAAAGTGGTATTTCACTGTAACACGGTGTGCGATTCGGTGACAAAACGAACAGAGATACAACCCTTCCACTCGCGTCGTCGCTGCATCGGTGATGTTCATACAAGAAGCGGCAGCGTTGAGGGCCCAGAGACGGTGCACTGGACGGACGAGTTAAGGGTGACACAGCGTGACAAAGTGACTTCTTTCCTTAAAAATGAAAAATAAGAAAACGTGATTTTCCTTATTCGCTGAACAGTGACCAATCGCTACTAATCGCCACCATGGTACGCTGTATAGCCTATGTGAGATGAATCGAGAGGGGCGGGGCAAGTTACCAGCCATTTTTAAAAAGTGGTGACTATTTGATCTGGTGATACCTGATAGTCGAGTATCAGTACCGGCCGGGGCACTCGATTCCGTATCGCGCTTACGTCTGGCTCGCGCTATTTAGGCTTGTGCTGGTTGATCTAGCGAAATTGAATAGCGTATAGAATAACTCGCTTTTGAGACATTGATACGCACGTCTATGTCAAGCCTTATCTGTGATCACTTAATCAATAATTGGTCAGAACTCCATTTAGCTTAATTTGATACTGCAGTAGGTAGCGCTAACGTAGTTAACTATATCAGTGCTTTGCGTAAGAGCAAAGATTTAGCAAAGGCCAATACGGAGGTTGGGAAGGTGTCTCGCGAGGCTTGCGGCTTGCAGATATACCAGTATGGTATGTTCGACATGAACTTGGCCGTTCCACTAAGCAAATTCTACGATATTTGTTTAGTGGAACAATGGACAATGATGCTTTACATGAGTGCAAACGAGCACGAAAAAATGCTTTTCCTAATAGAAGAAAAATACTAGGTTTTTTCAAGGTCAAATTAGATTTAGGCCAGCTAAAGCTGGTGGAAACAATTACGGAATAATTAACGACGAAGAAAACTTTCTGTTCTAAGTTGCCTCGTACTGCTATCTTGCAGGAAACGAGTATTCTCAAGGCTCACGACAGCACTATCTTTTCTGGTGATGTGTTGTTTCAGAACGTCGAACGACGGCATCGAACACAAGTGTTCGTTTTGCAGGTCCGCGAGCTACTAGAAGAATGGGACGATTCCAAAAGTATCGGTGAGCATTAGTCGACCGCGGAGAAATTGAGTTAGTTGCTGTGTTTATCGCAGCCGGCAGAATCTGTTTCGACTTGATGGTTGCAAACAAAACGTTATGCTTTCGAGAAAGTTTATTTATTTTTTTTTTTCGTATATTTAAAAATCGTTTTTATATATTAATTTTCATTTCTATAGATACAGAGTGGATTAATACCTAGTACTATGTGGTGCACTTTCACTTGCAACCCAAACAGCGTCTAAGGACACATGCTAACGATGTTCAGGGTCCACCCACAGCTCTGTTTGTTATTTGCAGGTTCTTACTTTTTTGCTTGTAACTTGTTTTTACCACCTAGCACATTCAGCTGATAATTCAGTGTTTTTGCTGGCGTTCGGTCTCGAAATGGAGGTTGGTCTAATCGCGTTGCGCCATAGGCGAGCAGTAGACGCGTAAGGGCTTGCAACCAAACTGACTACCAAAAATAGTCCCTGAGGCGGTCTAGCTTTTTTTGACTCTTTCAAGATTTAGCGTCTAGCACCAAGCTATCGATACGACAATGAACATCTGTCTAAAAGTTTCTATGTCCAAAGAAAAAGTGTCGTATTGCAGCTAAAGAATCATGTTTTAAGAATCTTTGACATCACACATGAATTTTAGCTGTTTTTGAATGTTAACAAAGGCTAATCGCCGAACTTGGTGTAACACCTATTTTGATAGAGAATGATGAGGTTGCAATTAAATAATTTCAACAGAATATAGTACTCCGCATGCATGATATGTTCGTCCTTGAGAGTCACGATACTTACCATTCAAGACTAGGTATAGACCTTACCTTTTTCTCCGCGCTGCTTTCTATTTAGTGAACGATTTGTCTTCGACCTGTGCTTGGCGGACTGGCTTGCTTGGTTGCCTGCGGTCTTCCTGCTCAACAAGTCTCATGCGACCGTTTCTCAATAGCAGTGTCTCCAGATAATGGCAGTCATTAAAGGCAGGCCAGAGGATTTGCGCGCAAGATTGTGCTAGGTGACGTAGTGTGACAAAGCCTATTTTGCGTCTGTGTCGCAAGGTGTTTGGAAACTACGACAGGATAACGTACCTCGTCGCTGATTCGATTTCCACTTTGATATGTGTAGAGTCTGTTGCCGGAAACATGCGCTTTTACGACACATGGAGGAACTGGGCCATTATGGGAGGCTGAATTGATAAACGATATAGTTCCTTATATGCATTAAAATACGCCTGTTAGTCTGTAATTACCAGTGGCTGGGGCTGCAATGGGGATTAAAAGGGAAGAATTAGGTAATCTTTTCAAATTGAAAATTGCAAGTTGTATTGGTTGTAAATTATCTACATTTCGCTTGCGTTGTATACCCTCGTGCACAATATACTATGGTCATCATGGTCAGATATAAATCTCCTACGCTGAAAAGAGCGTTTTATGCTCGATTTGTATGTTTCTATATATATATATATATATATATATATATCGATGTAAATTTGCAAAGTAGCGTCCATTTGCTAAGGGCTTTTGATTACTAAATACCGTGCAAAGTGATATTATAGACTTTCCTGAGTAAGTGATTATCTATGACTATTGATATATTCTTTACTCCTAGATCATCTCTTGCTTTGTAGTATTCGAATAATTCACAGTATCAAGCAGTGACAGCAGTATTAAGATGGGGATTCTTTTCTGCGTTTGTCCTTAGGCCGAAAACGAAAGTGGTTTACGGTAGCAGACGCTCTTGAGGAGTTAGCGGTATCCAAACCTGTACAATGTAACTACGTTCAGTTACTTGCGAACAAAACCGATTCAGCCTGTTGCTTACCGGTGGCACCCGAAAGTGGCGAAGGAGCAACTCTCAGCTTAAGGAGCAGCAGTGGCTCTGGCGCCAACGCGAGTTGTGGCTGCACGAGCGGTCAAACGAGTAATAACAACACGTCTACGAATGTCCTGGACGACCTTGCAGCTGAGTCGACCACAACGTAGAGACTCTCCATAATAAAGAATAATATTATATATATATACATATATGTATATATATATATATATATATGTATATATATATATATATATACATATATATACACATATATATAGAAACGAAATTATGGGTCCGTATAACGTATTTCGCATCACCGATGATAACCTTTCGGTGTTGAGGGCTGTCCATGAGTAGGATGGACATGGTTTTGCACCCGGACCGATGGACGAAGAACCTCTTGCTGCACACGTAGATTAAGCATCAAGCAAAAACCAATCAGTTTTCATTAGAGTCGTCGCTATTGAATCTTCCAGTTGCAGCGTTTTGATAGATTATTGTTACTGCGTTTCGTCAGTTGTGGTATTCACGTACGGCACGCGAGTTCATTGTCGTTAAAAAAGGAGATGAAAAGGAAACAGATGTCAGTACATATATATGATAATAGGGTGTATTGCAAGTGCCGAATCGGGTCAAAATAAGCTTAATGATTTAATTTCTAACCCGATCGCATCGGGCCTCTTTAGAGCCAGGAAGTTCTCATGCGTCGACAATTTTATACTGTAACAGCGATGACAGTGCCATTGTGTCAACGTATTCCGCTCGTTCCTTGCTTATTGTCTTAATCGTTTTATCAATTATCTATCGCTAGGAGAGGCTTGCTTCCTGTGAGTTATATATGTTACGTTTCGAACAAAAAATGCCTTTATGGTACGGGGAGATAAATGGATATAATTGCGGTGCAACACGGAGATAAACAGATGTGGTTTTTCAAGGTTTTAGTTAGATCGATCTAATCTTAGGCCGAATTTCTAATAAACCTCAGATGTTTAAACGGTGTCGATCAATAGAACAAGGAATCGCATGGGTGATATTATTCCTATGACGTTGATGACATGATTGGTAAATATCACTATTGTTGATTATACACTTATTATCTTTGTGATGTTTCTACAAAACAGCGTTGATTTCAAATATAATTTGTTTTGTGCGAGATTATTACTCTAAAGTGTGACTAAGCCAATGTGCTCGGTCAATTTCGCTGAGAAAAGCCATTTTAGCAAGTCGTTCTTTAACCGTTGCACTAAAGATACGTTTCAATTAAATACGAGCTAATATAAAACTATACGCGAACGACTCGAATGTTAAGATCTGTTGGAGGTGGGTATCTGTTATGCCGTTTGCATATATCTACACGAAGCCAGTCAACAGAGGCGGCACCTGTTACAGGGGCCATAAGTGCCACGAAAGAAACAGTCCACTGGAAAGTAAGCCTGAAAAGTACGTCTAGATTGTTTGTTTGTCAGAACCTTCGAAACGACAAGCAGTCACGGGCGAAAACTAACTATGACAACACAGCAACAACCTATGCAGCCGTGGAACAATCTAAAGAGGTTAATGACAAATCCGTCAATTAAGCTGAAACAAAACAGAAAAAGCAATGGTCTCCTGTGAACCAGTGCTTTCGTATGAGGTGCATGGACGACAAATCCAGAAGTGAGTACGAAAATAGTAAGTCCACAAGGGACAGGGAAACAAACCTCTGCGGGGAAAAACGACTAATAAAAATATAAATAAGTGGAAAAGAGAAATAAAACAGAAAAAATAGATATCTAATTCTAATTTTTTTTATTTGCCGTAAAACAGTTATTACGTGATACGAAAACGCGAGTGATTTCCTAGTGCGCTCAGGGCTTTGTGTGCGCGATTGTGACCCTAGTAGAAAGTAACGAACGAAAACAGTGTTATAGCAGAGACTGTGCGATGTGACACGAAACGTTGTGTGACTCAGCAAAGGGGAACCGTGCTGGTCCCTATTGAGTGATGTAGAAGTAACCGATAATTTACATATGAGTCTAGGAGATCGCCATCAGTGCGAGTTAGAAGTAGGTATTATCAAATGTATGATGACAAACCACGCCGTTGGTTATCCTAAACAAAAAGAAAAGGGGGCAGAATAGAACGGTACTGAAAGGAACGTACACATACGCTAGGATCCAAGGAGCAGCATCTAGAAGGCTTCCCCGAACGGTTCTAAGGGCGAAACGTAATTTGCTAGTCAAAGGGAACTATTGGTGTAAAAAAATCGCATAGAGCGGCAAATTATACAGAGCAATTTCAACGCGAAGCTATAAAAAAAAGTTATTATTCAGGTTTTCTGTTCCTCAACAACTGAATGAAATACACAAGCCAATAAAAAAAATGCAGCTGTAATATATATAGCCCATGATGTTCTTTCATCCACCTAACCTGTAATGCTTCCGTTCTTGGCGGCTATGCACGCCAGTGGACAGACCGATCGGTTTTATTACAAACGCGATTGGAGAGATGCACTGGCGGAGACTGGCTAAACGTGAAAAGGTTAGGATGTCTGATCTGGGTAAAATGGAGCGCTATACATTAAGAGGAAGACAAAAGATCGTGGAAAATTCACATTTTTCGCACGACGGTCGTCACATAATAATATACAGGCGGTACAGTCAGAAGCATAATTATATTATATAATAAGGAGTGGACACTACGACGGGGTAGGAGAATGGGGCTTTGGTGGAAGTTAATCTAACATTGGACTCTATCTATAGAGTCCGGTGTCTAATTTGTTTCTGATAGCGAGCGAACGCTGTTGTAAGCACGATCAATCTGAAATAGAATTCTCAACGTGGAAAAATGGCATTGGCATATCCGATCAATCGAAGGAAGACATAATACAAAAAAAGGCGATATATATATTATGTAGCACAGTGTCGTAATATGATGATGTATCAGCGAAAATCATTACAATAGGAAAAGGAAAGAGATCCGTGCTGCTAAGTGTCAATTCGATTACCAGTTCCAGCAGAGATTTTTCTATGATTTCCAGAAGCCGAAACGAAGCTGTGTTTATTTTATTATTGTACTTAATGTCGTTTTGTGATTGATCTATAAAGAATAAAGGATATCACAATAGTTTGGGATAATTATTAGTAGTTCTGATTCCATACTGAAAAACATTTGCCAGATCGTTTTGATTTAATCGATAAGTTGTCCTTATAACGATAAGCACGGCACCGCACGCTAAGAACTTGGAGCTCCCATAAATGTGAGGCAAAAGCCAAATTGGTGCGCACGCATTATATATGTAAACATTGGGAGACACTGAATAAATTAAGAAAAAGACATAGGTCAAGCGAAATATAAGATTAGAGAGCCATTCTATGGAAGTTGAAACGAGTGTGGATGAAGAGATATTTTGGACAGAAACATATAAATAAGGAGATCATTTAGAAGCAAAAGCTGCGACGATTCATGTAATTAAATAGGCTCGTCGCACAAAATGAAATGTGGAAGCTGAAAAATTCTCATGTCGATGGTAACGAACAGAATACAAACAATGATGGCGGTAAGGAAAAAGACTTATATATTAATATGACAAATTCCATTAAAATGTGTCTTTGCAGAAAATACACTTGACTGTGTGTTCATTTAAATTATTTGTCTCTCGAGACGGAACGTAAACAGAGCCTTAGACCCTATTCGTATACCGGCTGGATCATGCAACAAAACGATAGAACACACTAACTACATTTATCTAATAATGATAAGTATAGTGTTATATAAAGATAAGATAATAATCAAGCTAGCTAAAAATTGTATACGGGCTAAATCGAATAAAAAATAGTTTCCGCCTTCATCTAAACAGAATTTTATATATAGTTTACTTACTTCGAAACACATTTATCAAAATCTAAGTTAGTAATACTAATGGGTCAAAGGTCCAATAAATTTGATTTGTCCTGTTTGTTTGCGCGTTTTTACAGTTCCTAGAATGCATTGGCCAGTGTGTATGTACATATATACGGATGCTGTCCTTGTATACGGCAATATGTCGCAGTTACGCTCAATATTTAACCTCTGAGAAATTAATGTTGTCTCCGCCTGTTTTTCTGTCAAGGTTCTGGCCTTTTCGAGTGACTAGTACCCAGGGAAGCCTAAAGGTAAATAGACCGAATGGTACAAAACAGTTAGAAAGAACAATCTCCACATGGCAAATTCTTGTACGAACATTACATTATGTTATCTATTGATGCTTAGGTACGTCGTTCAAATGAATTACGACATCATATTCTGACCTTTAGCATAGAAGTGCATCTGTTGGATTGTTTTTTAAATGTGACGTCCAATGTTACATCCACATGATGCATGGAAAATGTAATAATACGTAATAACAATTTAAATGTTTGCCCGCCTTCTCAACTCGTCACCTACGCTGCCAGTACAACAGGAATAAAGAAGATTATTCCCTGAACAGCAAAAACGAGCCCAGGAAAGAAGTCGATCGACTTGCTGCAGATAACCGTCGTCACAGCGTCCGTACCGATAGGCACAGGTCGTTCGAAAGCTGACGTTAGACTTCATTCGATTGTAGAAGAGGCTACATGTGCGCTCGGACACCAGTCACTGATACGATGAACGGAACTCCGATAAAAGTTACTGAAACAAAATGGCGACGGTTAATGAAACAAAGTGACAAATAGCGCTGCTGAAGGTATAGAGCAAATAAACCAAATACGATACATAACTACATGGGATGGTTAAATGTAGAAGAACGAACAGATTTTAGCATCCATCTTTAGGATAAATAATGCAGCGGTCGTGTTCTTTTTTGACCACCCTCCCAACTTACAACTCCGTAAGTTTCTCGTATGTATTCTACAAAATGCTGCGGTAAAATGGTCTAAATTCTCGCATTTGCTGTTTGTATCACTTACGATTCGCTATGTAGTGATACAGCACTATGAATTATAATATGCGACCGAAAGACAGTTACGTAACATTTAAAATGTCTCGTACTCGTAAAAAAAAGGAACGAAGCTCATATATGACGTCAACGAAGAAAAACATATATATATATATATATATATATTACTATAAGAAAAACGTTTGTTACTCTCGTTTATCGAAGTTCCTCTCAGCTTTGTACTACGAGTTCAATAAGCGGAGGCAATGACACTCGCGAGAATATTAAACAGACTAGACAGATTACCTACTTACGAACATAACACGCACTGATGTCGAGGAAGAGCATCGAAAAAATAAGACACTTTAAACCGAAGCACGTAACCCTATGGCTATCATCATCGGATCGGATAACTTGAGCGCTTTTGTAAACAAGAGCATGTTGGGGGGCGAGAGGAGAAAAACGACAGTTATCGAAAGGGAGCTCACAAAAGTCTACTGCTCGACTTCCCATCCGTATAGCAAGTTAACGTAAACGTATTCAAGATCGGCTGCACCTGTAATATTAACATGGCATCAAAGTTTATCCACGTAAATAGAGTATATACAATACTTATTATCATTCTCCTGAGGCAATTCTGAATAATTCAGTTTATCAGTTTTCTAATTGCCAGTACTGGAACCCACTGGGCTTACATTATATGTGAGAAACTCTAAAGGAATCAGTGATCTTTCCTTTTTTTTTATATATCTCAACAGAAGCATTACAGTTTCATACTGGGTATCGACTGGTTTACCAATTTTCTAGGCACGTTTGTTTAGCACAAGTGAGATTAAGGGGCGTCTGAAATGTAAGATATATTTTTTGGAATCATTACGGATCTCATGAACTTTTCTTTATCGTAAAGACACTTAGCTATATATTTACAACTGTCCCATTTTTCAAGTAGAAAAATAAGTAGACAACAAACATTTGACCAAAATAAGCCTGTTCTAGGTGTTGTTAGAAGATAATTACCTGTACAACCCATGAAACCAATCACGATAAAGCTTTGTTTTAACACCTGCGGTCCTATCGAGTGTTCTATCACTGTACGCGAGTTGTCCTTTTTTATGTCCCCAAATATATCTGTAACGGGTCGCACATTTGACAATCAATCTAGCGCTCACTCCATACGGTGGAAGTAAGAGTAAACGTTTCTCGACTTGTTTTAGCTTAGCCGTTCTGTAGCGTGTGGCAAGATATTTTTTGCTAAACAGATTTATATCTGTATTTTAAATTCTGTCCTATTCTTGAGGATTATATACTAACACTTGATTCTTTTTTGTACAAGTAAAAATGCACAAAATTATGGACAACAATTCGTACAAGAGCATCGCACAAGTGAACTGAGGAATCATTTCTAGTTTTGCTAACCAGTTCCAGATCGGCCAGGTCGCACCAGATACAGGCAGCTAGCCTCCATTAACATAAGAACAATGCAATTACTGTTGCTACTGGCTGTATGGCGAATATAGTTGTCAACGTACCTAAATCTTGAAAAACGGCCAGCAAAAGGACGAGTGCCACAACGAAGATGATGCTGACTCCAGCCGACATGTGCAAAATATTAATTCTCGCATAGAGATAGCCTCCTGCGCTGATAGCACTCACACGAAGAACTGAATCATCAGGAAGCGGCCTTTACGACATTCCGCAGGGCAGAACATCGTGATGTTGGTGTATACCGATGTCATGAAAACGAGTAGACCACCTGGTAATATTGTTCGTGTGTCCGAAATTTTAACACCGCCCAACGATATTAACATGACCATGTATATAGTTTATAATATAATAGTCTAAGTGCGATATCTGCATACCACTGGTACGTAATATGGTGATAAGGGCTTCCGCACGAAGAAGTTTTCCTAAGGGAAACTACCATTATTTAAGTTAGCTGTCAATACACCAGGTGTCTCTGCGAGAACGTTGTAGTACGATGGTACTTCCATTCTATAAAAGGTGAATGTGTGAAGCAGCGTGCTGATAAGGCCTCCTACCGTTGCTACGCCATAACGAGCTATATACTGGCCACTGATCAACGACATTGCTGCACTTAATCAAGTCACAGGCAGTCATGAAAGTTCTATGGGCATAGATGCACTAAGGTGGACTATGCAAATTTTGCCAGTGTCAACGTTTCTGTACACGAATCATAAAGTAAAATAAATGCCCATCGAAGTGAATACTTTTACGTTAACTGCTCTCGTTAATTTCACATTGTTTTTGCGGGCTTTGTTAATGAACATATCTGTCATTGGTATCGTAAGTGGCGCTGTCGGACATATGGAACACATAAGGATGATCTCGAGCGGATATCTACGTAGGATTTCTTGCTTGTGATAGCACTGACTGAGCATAATATTTCTTTGCTTATCGACGTTCAGACAGCTCTTAATAGGTGCATAAATAATGTCTTTTTCTTCAACTAGCAGATCTTTATCGCTTGAAGCAGGACATGTTTCACATAAGCCGTAGAGACAAGCAACCACACGATCAGCGCTAACAATTCGGTTCTCTTCGAACATCTCATCTCGGAACCTCGCGAGGTAATCCCTGGAGCAAGCTACAGATCATCCAACAGACGAGATATAATACACTTACTTTCTACTTCTGGTACACTGGTAAAACCACTCGATTTACTAACGCGCCATTCTTACGTGTGTGCCTGAATCGAACTGAAGGCTACTACGAATACAGTTATTACGTAGCGCCTCAAGAGAGAACTTACCCCTTGGATCTCAGTTTATATGAGTCACTATTAAATTGAATTTTTCTATAAAAACAAATAAACATTTCACGTTCTCATACCTTCGCTCCCTCTCTCTTTCTCTCTCTCTCTCTCTCCCTCTCTCTATATATATATACATATAATCAACTACGACGACACCTTATTTCCCTGGGACGTTCCATACGCGTCGGTTGACGAAAAAGCCATATTGCTTAGTTTGACAAAGTTCATAAGACTTGCATAAGTTGAGATGTTTAATGTGGAAGTTTAGCTGTAGACTGTCATTTAACGAGAAAGCGCAAACAAAACTAGGTAAGTTTTTTTTGGCGGAATTTTTAAAAGTGTAACTGCATATGATGGATTAGACAGTATTTTATCTGTAAAAAAAATAGTTCTTAAGTATTCTTACGAGTATTAGGTCGCTCCATAAGGGACAGGAAAATGATAATTGGTTGTTAGCTTTTATTATCCTTAACTCCTAAGGCACTTACCGCTTATAATATAGTTTTTGTAAACAACAAATTATAACTATAGTGAGACTAAATTATATTATCTACGCAACATCTAGAGGAAATATTTTTTCTATCATTAATTTTTTAGGCGTCTTACAGGTAGAAGTAGCCAACTTAATCAAGCGGCACCCCGTTTTTATATAGTAACGGTAACGGGAGTGCATAGGATTCGGTGTACAACTGGTTCGCGTTTTAACACTTGTGTTACCCGTGTGCCTCCCCTCCTTACAGTTTACGCTGTCGGTCAGTTCTTGCTAGGAAGTTCCAATCCCTCTGAAACGCAATGACAACCGACTGACAGTCCTACTGCTCTGTTTATTCTGACCGTAACCTTTCTGCCGATGTTAGGACCATTTTCGCTGATGCTAGTCTGTGTGTGTGTAGTTCGACACTTTCTGCAGCCGATCCCTAACGAATGCAACCGTCCGAGTACATTCGTCTCACCCCTAAGTTTCAAATGTTAACAATCTTGATGCGAAACCGCCATTCTTTATTGATCTGCGTGTATATTTCAGAGTTAGTATAAAAGCACTTAGGTACACGATGCGTGGCATGTTTGCACGTACATAAAGTCGAGGTCTATAGATAGCCTATTTCGGACTAAAGATAGTTTCACACAATTTTTTTCATAGAATGCGAGTTATATGTTATTATGCTAACTAACTGGTGGTTTAATTGACAAAAACTATCTGTTGGCAAAGGCAAAAAAGGCTTTGCATTTTTCTACACTCAGTTACACAACAAGTGTACAAAAGCCAAAGAATAGGTTCTGGCGCGGGCGGTATAAAAAGATTTCAGATTGCGGCTAACCAATATGGGAGGAAGACAGGCCGAGGAGATGATCGGGTAGCCATTTGCAAAGTTGCATGGGTAGTAACGACTTGAAAAGGAAAGTAAACATTGAAATGATAAACGAATTGCTCATGACTATTGGGCAAAATCAGTTAGGAAAAGGAACTTGTTCTGTTCTAATCAACAGAACCAAAGTTCGTACAATTATGATACGGGCTGTGAAGTACCAAGTATCAACACTTCTATAGAATAATTTTGTAGGCTTCTCAGGCAAGATGAATTAAAAATATTTAATATGTAACATCTATATTTTTTAATGAAATTTTGAAAATTTTATATCCAACAATGTATAGAGTAGTATGTCTACACGTGGATAGGCAATATTGCACTTTTCTACCCAAGCTGAGTAACATTTACAGGTCGAAAGAATAGACTCTTTTTATTGGAAAAAATAAAATTGTCTACCGTTTACTGTCTTCTATCTTCATTTTATGAGCCTCACAGTACAAGCAAGTAATACGTAGGTAAACTTTTTGTTGCTTCATATAGTAGTAAAAGAATTTGACCGTGTAAAGGCATGAGTCTCAGGTTCTGACCTAAAGAATCTCTTCAGGGTATGGCCGTGGCCATACGCACTTACGACAGTCTTGTTTGTGTGGACAATTCAGCACGTCATGTTTCTCAGCCTCTTGTCGGGTCTCGGGCAGTGGTACAGGCTAGGCATGGCAACTGTCAGCCTGTGTAATGTTATAAACTTGCATTAATAAGCGCTAGCTCTTCTTCGATATTTCTTCTAGGCACTTCATTAATTTCTACATTCATTAACACTATATTATAGCCTCCAATCCTTTTTCATTTTATATTACCCACGATAGGTTTAGTAGTATCTATGATGCCCGTGTTTTCCATATTGGCCATAATGCTTTTCTCCATGTACGTGATGGCCGTGATCGCCATATTGGCCCCCGTGATGTTTTCCGCCATATCCACCATAATGACGATGGTCTCCGTGGTGTTCGCCTCCGTAATGGCGTCCATGGTGGCCCCCATGGTGGCCTTCACTGTCGTGTTGTCGATGATGTCCATGATGTTCTCCGTGATATCCACGGTCACCGTGCTCGCTATGGTGTCGGTCCCAGCCCCATTTACGTTCGTGACCCCATCCGCGATCCCGATGGTGTTTGTGATGTTGATTCCAGTGGCTATTTCTGCCTCCATGACCTCCGTAGGAGTCGTGCTGCCTGTGATCCCTGTGTTGACCCTCGTAATAGCCTCCGTGGTGTCTTCCGCCGTAGTGCTGATCACCACCATGGTGTCCGTGATGCTCCCCACCATGATGGTCTCCATAGTGTTTATGGCTGCCATGTTCATGGCGATGGCCCCCGTGTCTTCCGTACTGTCCATGTCCTTCATGACCTCTTTGACCATATCCCGTTTCGGCTACCTCCATCTCATCTTTATACTGCAGACCTGCTACCTGTACAAGGAAAGGGTCTGCCCCAATAGGTTCATCGGTTTGTTTTTGAGATTTTCGATGAACATCGGTAACACCTTTAGCCAGAACATTATTTTCACTTTGCTTGGCAAGGTCCTCACGAACTCTTGAAGAGTGCACATTGATGATAATGATTGCAATGGCTGCTAGCAACAAGCTGCAATGGCCACTAGTAGTTTTGAGTTGCCGCATGTCGCTTGCAGTAAGTGTGCTTCTATTCTGTGCTCTGTTCTAGAGTAGTTATGTCTTAAATAGGGGGTTGGCACGGTGATCCAGCTGCGGCCGTGTTCGGTTCCTACAGCTTTAGAAGTGTGTGGCTATACTAAAAAAAAAAATTTGCACATTCACTGTAAAATGACGGCAGCGACTGTTCCAAAAACAAAGAACATGGTCAACCTGTGTCACAAAATCGGGTTCACCGCCAAAGTTCATCATGAGCTTTGCGGCAGGCTTCTGTAAGCAGAAAAGCCCCAAAAACTGAAAATAAACACGCACTGACAGCCGCTCGAACTGGGGCAGCTGTTGGCAGCAGTAGCTGGTAGCAAAGGAGAGGGCATTATAATAAAAAGTATAGTTCACAATTCGAATTTTTGGATCGCTCACTGTCAGACAGAACACTGAGTGGATTAATTATCTTATTACGAAAGCTCCATAGTAATATTTAAAGCTTAGAAACTTAACTACGGGTTATGATGTGAATCCAACTCATTTATTCACCTTTGTCAGATAGCATTTAAACACCTGAAATACATATATTTATGACAAGACTCGAACTATTTGCAGATGACAAATTGTTTCCAATGCAAAGCTTATCGATACGGTCTGTCTGCGTTTGTTGTAGAAGATTAGGGCGAGCGTATATTGAGACGACTCCGCGTTACGAAATGATATGTCCATCGTGACTACAATAGGATCTGCAGGATAAAAGAACAGGAGTCATTTGCTGAAGTGATCGATCGATCTTTTTTTTTCATTGATATAAAGCTTTTTTCTCTGTGTGCCAAGAGAAAGAAGTGCGTTTTGTTCACTAATCTACACTCATCGTTGCTGTTTCTCAGTGATTCTGATGAAATGGAGAAATACACCTGTGTCAATAAGAACTAAAGGTCTACGAAAAGCAGCTCCGTTTTTAATAAAATTCCTATAAAAGGATATGATAACGACTTGTGGCCCAATGAGAATGATGCAGCGATGGCATGTTTGTTTACTGATCTTAAGAACGAAAGAAGTGGTCCCGGACGTAGGCACGTTTCGTGATGGAGCATTGGAGTGATGGAGTCTAAGGTAAACTACGTATCTAGAGCTCGAAACGCACAAAAAAAAATGTAAATGCATATATATATATAGGGTAGGTGAACAAAATCATCATCGTCGTCGTCGTCGTCGTCGGCTTCTTAGCGAAAGATTCTTGAATAGCTAACCAACTGTCTCGCCACTCGTTTACAACTAAGCCGTTGTCCTATTCACTCTTTCAAGAGTTATTTGCGACGATGGTTTAGAACACACGTTTCGCACTGCTGTATGTTATAAATACCTGCTCCAATATAATCCTTTTTAAGTACGTATGGGTGGCTTTTTTTTATCATAGATTCATGCTGTAGGACTCATAGGAAGTCATTTGGTGCTCATCGTGTTGCAGATGTGTAGATTTAAACCCGATCCTTACCATACTATTGTCTATTGATTGCTCCTTTTCGACGTTGGTACACTTTGTATCGAGCCGCTCATGTGCGGAATGTAAAAGAAAATCGTGCCCGCTAGTACTGGCGTATTTTGTAAATAGACTTTATTGCATGTATTGTTTTTTGTATGATTCCGCACGACGGTTTCATCTAGGTCTGTAGTAACTGATGCTGGACTAGAGTACCCTTATACGTTCTGTGATGAGATTCGAAAGGTGTCTCGAACATTAATAAATTGCCGATTAGGCTACTGGGTAATATCAACAGAGTAGTACTAGAAAACGATTTATGCAGGATACGCACTAACTAAAATGGAATAGATCGAATACCTAATTATCTCGCCGACTTCAATCGTACGAACAATTAGATAACCAATACAAATCTCTGTCAACCTTATTTTGATAGAAGTCAAGTTTTCAGGGATGAAAAAATTGAGAGCCGGTTTGTATTAACCGTTCTAATAACTGTTGTATTTATTTATTAACTTGTTTATTATTTACTAAAGTAACTTATGGGTGTCGTATATGCTATTAAAAAAAAATCATATATGGCTACGAAAAAGATCATATTATTCTAATATTGTTAAACTATATACCAATGTTGTAGGACGTACTTCGTTTCGTGCCGGAGCCAGTAATCTGAAACAAAGAGACAAATACAGTGAACCTGAAGCTCGATATGTTTATTTTAATGTAGAAACCATTAACTTTGAATTAGCTAATTTCGTTCTTCTCCTTCCTAATCGATTTTTTTCGTTCGCGAAGCATTATAAACTCTGCTTCACCAGGGCGTGCGACATTATTTTTCCAGATTTTTATTTTAAATCCCGTTTTGATCACGTTCAAATCATGTCAAACCTAGATGATTTCGCTCTCAGTCCTAATTGCCTCGAATCATTAGGGCCACTTCTTGCACCCAAGAATCTTGACTGCTTTTGAAATCTGAGGCTGTAGAGGACTCGTATCGTGAATGTGCTGTTCCATTTTCTGTTTTTTCATTCTCGGCCATGCTACTTCCTCATACGCCTCCTCGCCATCTCGACTCTGTTCATGAAGTGTCCAGCTGAAAGAACGTACTCGCCTCCTAACTTTACGCTCTCTCCTTCTGTTTTTAGGACACTCCATACTCGGCCTTACAGGCTCAAGAACTAAATGCTTGGCTATTCGAAAATCACATTAAAATCAACCCAGTGATGCAGCACCTGCAGTGATGACAGGGAGTAGTCGCATCCACTTCGTAGAAAAGGTAATCAGAGCAGTAGACAAGGCAAAATGTTCGATGGTTGAAGCAACCGATGTTAGAGAAAATTATGTTTAATAAATTTTGTTACGGTAATTGTTGCACTGGAACATATGGCGGGCGACGTTATCACATTGGAAAATAATCAAGGTACGTAAATTGTATACTTGATTCTTGTATTTAGGTCACAGTGTCAGCTCCTTTTTGAACCTAATTCATGATGCATCAACCTTTTTTCTAAAATTCAAATGGTCATATGTAACATGTAGTACACAAACGGGACCAAGTTACACAGACGGGATCATAACTAAAGTTTTAAGAGTGATCAACTTTAGTTATTTCTTACCAGGACATTAAGGGCTAAAGTTACGTTCAGATTACTGCAGAGCTTTAATTACTATCAATCTATTTTATCATCGTACTGTTGCAGTGATATCATGTAGCCCTACAAGCTGGAGGAACGCATGGATGGCCTAGGTTCGAGTTGGTGCAGAGACACGCTTTAATCCTGCATTAAAATAGGACCAAGTAGAAAAGTCAATGCTTCGAATGATTTTTTTTTTTCGTTGCTTAGATTATTCGCTGACAAATCCTCAAAGTTTGTCATAAAGGGCAGCGTAATCTAGATGGCTAATGGCTAAATGCGTCAGCCGTTACCTAACAAGCTTGCCATCATGCTGGCTCGAAACATCAACGTTGGCAAAAATTGTTATCAGAAATAACCAAGGGAATGAGGAAGAAGTATATGGAATTTAAGAAAAAATCATTACTAAAATTACTGGTTACTTCATTGGATGCCATACTGTTTAATACGTATGTTGGAGGAAGTGCATTGAAGTCTACTGAGATCCCCTCCTTAGTCAAGTTTTAAGTGGAACGAGTTTTTGATACGATGTCTAAAAAAGGTTACTTCGAGGACCGGTTTATAGAAAAATAATATCCATAATAAGGAAAGTGCCATAATAAGAAAGCTATAAAAACCGATAAAACGGATAAAATAGTTAACCGGTGTATACACGAGGTAAGGCAAGAGAGTACGTTAAATATATAAGATAACCTTCTAACAAAAACGCATAAAAACCAAGTAAGTAAACTGTAGAGACAAAACAGCACGCGAATCTCGGACCAGCGAAATTTTGATGCCTAGAAATTTAGAAATTTTTAGCGCAGTAGACAGATTTTTAGATAAATTTTTATGTATCTTATTAACATATACACAGATGTTGCGTATATCTACATTGCTTTCTTTATAGATGGCCCGCTATGCTTGGAGGCTGTGTTTCGAGGAGTTGTTAACCTGAGTCTGCAGACTATTACATACACGACATGCTGTGTCAATAATACTGCGTCTTTTTTTTGTCTTTAGCCTTCCGATTTTGCGTCTAACAGAGCTTATGATCCCCCGGATCCACATCTTTAGGTTGTTTGCAAGTCGAGCCATTGCCTGCTACAGAAACAAAAAAACCGCGTTTCAGTTATGGTGTTTAGCAATTTTTCGCCAAAATTGCTATCTAGATAAAACTACGCTCATGTTTCTACCAGTACGTTATGCTATATACAGCAGCTCCTTAGCGCTAGCGTCTGTTATTCACGAACGTCTGTTTAACAAGACCGTGTTTTAAGATGCCCTTCAAAACCTGTGCATCCACAGGTAGCAGTCACGTCAAGGTATTTGAGCATGTTTGGAATGAGTTTTTTCGTATGAATTTGATGCCGTCATGCATGTCGAAGCTAAGGGAAAACGGAATTATTGAGCGTGGTAACGCGATGGGACGATCCGCTTTTTTGTGCTCATAAATGTCAGCTAGCGACCTAATAGGCTGAAGGCTAAAAGAGCCTGGCCAATGTAGTCGCGTATTTTTCTAATTTCGGAGAGAAGCTCTAAGGTCGACATGAGCTTAATAGATACTGTCGTAAGAAGAACTTACTTCAGAAGCTCGCAGTAAATGGAATTAACAGACCAAAAACACTCTGAAAGTCACTCATAACATGCTAGACTAATAGAGTTAATAAGAATTGCGCTGTTATCTAAAAATGCACCCTAATAATAGCTTTCAGGCTTTAATAATTGTTTTCTTTATGGTATAATGTTTTCAAGATGTGTTAATGAGGTAAAATGTATTTTAGTGACCCCCTATACACTTGTAAGGTGAATTGGACTTTGATGGGGTGAAACTACGGCGGAACAGACTTGACTGTTCTTCATATCATAAAAGCAAATCGTTGTGTTTTATAGTAACTAAAATTATGTGGTAAACAAGCTGCGCTCTCAACTGCATTATGAGCCAAGAGTCATGTCAAAACTGCTTCTTTACCTCAGTGGGCCCTCTCTTCTATATTACATACAAAATGAACAAATTTGCCGATTTTAACGGCCGGTGCTGCCGTTGAGCACTGCCCTATTACTCGTCCCCGGGAATTAGTTGATCCACGCCGAATGTATTAGACAGATTGAAGCGTGGCTTTTCTCGTTTGTCGCTCACCCAGCCCAGGAGCTCACTGAGTATTCTGGCAAAGAGATGAAGTTTCACACTAACGGTGCCCTAACGCGCCCTTCTTGGCGAACAGCCGGTGAAGCCAAGCAGATAGTGAAAGCAGTCATGTATCGCTTTTCTTGTGGCGTAAACGGGTTTAGCAAAACCGGGTTCACATTTGTGTTTATCGATGTATTCAAAAACTGCTACGCGCTTATATGATAAGCACAAAATACACCGAATCGATGTATAACATACCTTTAATAAATCTGCTTTGGTATAATTTTGCTGTCGCCTTCGTCTATTTTGCGTTAGTCTTTCTGATCCAACGTCATCGGGTCCACTAGATTCAAAGATGCGACAGACCCCATAGAAAATTTCTGCTAGGGACGTGGTCATCTCCGGGAGACAAATTCGACATCAGTCAATGTAATCGAAGGTATCTAACTAGTATAGCGGGTATTTTCGCGATCTCCGCCCGTAGTACTAGAAATCATGCGAACATGAAAAGCTTGCGTGGGCAAACACGATTCGGCCCCAAGATGCTCAGATATAGCAAACTACAAAATAACCCTACTGATTTCAACACAAGTCTGACTAGGGTAGATTTTGGGTGATACAGCACATTCCGTTTAGGATATTCTAAGAAATACATCTTCTACACAATCTGCTAGCACCCCCACTGAAGCAATTGGTTTATCACATTCAGAAAGAGGCGTTTGTATATAGATGTTGGCACCATGCAACTAACAGTATCCATCTGTATCAACTACGACAAGTTTGATCACAGTTGGCCGAAAAAGACACCACAGGTAAAAGTTGAACTGTAAAAGCTTACGCCAATTGCACCGATGTCTGTGCAACGTAATGCATCTTCGATTTTAAAACACGCCTCATCGATTTTACTTTTGTCCTAGTGCCAGTGTTTGCCTTAGATATCCTACTCGTAACTGGGCTTGATATGGCATAGTCGTAATATGGATCCATTGATGGCATCCTGTCTCTTTTCGTTCGCCTTTTTGCGCGCATCAAATTCAAACAGTCGACATTACCACTGAAAATGTCGGCCACGAAAATTCTCGGCATTAGCGTACGCTGTAATCTCGGCCTGCTAGTATTGTTGACTCTGCTAATATTTCTCATGATCGCTGTGCTCTCCGTGATCTTTATAATATCGCTACTCATGATCGTAACGGATGTGGGTACCGTAATAGTTCCCTTGTCCTTTTCATCCACATTAATCACCTCTATACAAAAATGTAGCGCTCTTACACATGTATATATATATATATATATATATATATATGTAGGCCTTACGATTGAGGTTATATAGTGTTTTCTGCTCTGAAGCATTGTGTTACAGATTTACTTTTACACCGAATTAATCAGAAAATTACCGAAAGTTTCAAGCGGACCGGCCTTTGTTGCGCGGAACGCCCTTGACCGTTCGGAAAGCCCGGCCAGTTCATAAGAACATTTGTCGCCACCAGTGGGAGAGGGAGGTGAGAACAACAGAAAAAATAAACTGAATTACTGCGCCATCACGTGGCAAAAAAGGTTGTGCTGAACAAGGAAACGGTTTCTGTCTAATAAGGTCTTTTATTCATGCTCTTTTCTATAACCATAATCGTCGGTAATACCCGTATTACTCAATATTTGTCACATTTGATCAATGTCAAAGCAAAAAGGATGGCTGTGAAAATACTGAATTTTTTTTTTACACAACATATAGGTTGGGGCAAGGTCTCTTAACACCTAAAAAATCCTCTGGAAAAATACGCATATATTGTATTAATGTGTATAAAAATACGGGAGTCCCTGAAGCACGTTTTGTTGTAATGAAAACGCTGAACAAGAAGAAAGGCAAAAGATGGTTTTCCCATCAACTGGCTACAAGACATATGGAAACACGTCTGATGTACTCTAGAATGAGAATTTGTGTAATTTGTATCAATAAATGGCACCCCTGATACTCAACTTCGCCACAAATAGGACGTGGGCCGATCTGTGTCCCCCATCAGAAAAGGATCAGATGAGAGAATGGCATTGAAAAGGAGAAAAAGCAATTCCGATGGCAGCACCGAAGGATTCGGCCATATATGAATGATTTTAACCGCAATGGATAGCAGACAAGAAAATATACACAGATCGACTTGTCACGCTATCATTATAACTTTCCAGCAATCTGCATCTGTTATATGCGTCACGGGTTCTGTAACTTTGTGTCAAACAAATGACTGATTTACGGTACAAATATGTCAGAGGTAGCTAACGATTCAGAGCGGCACTTCCCTGCTTTTTGCCTGTTTTGCTTGCGTGCTATTGTCCTTAGGTGAGAGTACCATACTAGAACCATTCCGTTACGTGTAAACGTCGTAAACTGAGTAATTTCAGTTACAACTACGTTTAGACCTGCTTCTCTATTGGCTGCATTGGACAACGACTTTTATAGAAATTACGTTGTCATAAATCTAGGCCCTTATTCTGTATTAGGCTTTGAAGTTAACTTGTGTCTTTTCTATTTAACGTCACCAAAATGGCCGTTATTTGTTCAAATATAAAAATACTGGTTGCAGTGCAGGCTTCTCTGAGTCTGGTCGAATAGTAGTAGTTTTTATAGTAAGCTAACAAAGCACGAAGACATGTGTACGACTTCATCGACATTTCCTCTAGAATCGTTAATTTTTCTATGCTGTTTGCGCTTATAGTTAGATACCTGTCCAATCAAAACGCACCTTTGTTGAAACTGAAATTAACACTTTTGAAAACAAAGTGGGCATTGTTAAATTCAACTAGGTTTGAAAAGCCTAAAAATACATCTAACAGATGTTATCTTATAAAATGTCAAACTTTCTACCCGGACTTGCATTTATTGTAACGAAGGATACACTGCCTATTCGAAATCATTGCTCATATGAGAACCCATTATTTTTATAAATGGTCATCCTGATCGTTTTTGGCAAAGACAGTTACGCTAATGCTGAATCAGAGTCTGTGGTGATCCCTGTGATCGGTACTGGACAAAAGCAACGAGTAAAAAATCGTCTGCTAATTTGGATTTGATACAATATTCGAGTACACACAAAACATGGCCGTGTGTTGAAGTTGAAGGCCAAAAATATCTGTCCTTAGCTTTCAGATCAAAAGCGAAACATCTATGTGAACCTATGTTATAGATAGACTGAAAATAGAAACGAATACGACGGAATAAAGGTGAAAAGTGGCAGTACGGATAGACTAGCCATGGTAGAAAGGATCCATTGCTAGCTACTGGTAAGGTGATCCTTTTCTCCCAGGAGTCGCCTCGTCACTCAACACACATTAATGCCACACGCCTTCGTCTCAACGCAAAAGGGCTGGTCCGTGGTCGGAGCCAGATATTCGCTCTGTGAGGACATTTACCAGTTACAGCGGTTAGCCAGGATTGCAGTTGTAGACATATGCCATTCTCCGTATTGCAATATCAAGCAGACAACGCATGTTAACCTGATTAAATTTATATTGTAGGCGTTTACAAGGATGCCGAGGGCAATAAACATTTCCGGGGGTCACATACCTGTGTAGGAAAGCCTAGCACAATGTGAAATATGGAAAGGACGGCAGAACTTCAGGCTTGCGCTTCGAACTGCGACTCTTCGGGGACTTCGCCATCATGATCAGAGTTAACATCGTACGCACGGAACAGGATCTCAGTCGGCCGCCAACTTCGCTACGCGATGGACCTCAAGGAGTACCGTAAGAGAGGTGGGTTATTCATTCATTGTCTCGTAGCTAGACTCCGAATGTATACGTTCAATGCCAATATTATGTGAATGATAAGGACATGAACTCGTAAGATTACATGAACACATACAACTTGATAACCTAAAGAATTGTTATGGTGTTTAGAAGTTCCATTAAAGGAAGCCCGTTCATTTAAAACTTGTGTTAGCTAGAAAACACAATTTAAAGCAGAAAAGAGAGCAGAGATGCCATTTCTATAACTGTGTGTGAGACCTAACGAGTATTGAGGTTCTGTTTGGTAGGTGGCGATCTGAATAATTTTCTTTTGTCTACTTATCATACCGTCGATGACTATTATCCCTTGAACTCTAAGCGAAAGAGATGGTTGACATAATTGCGGGCTACCTCGAAACCGTCGGAGAAAGGCGGGTGTTTCCCGATGTAAAGCCTGGTTACATGCTCGCCTTGGTACCACCGGATGCCCCTGATCATCCCGAAGAGTGGGACAGCATTGTAGAAGATATCTACAACGTGATCATTCCCGGCGTGAGTGTAAAGTTCGAATTTAGATTATTTGAAGAATCATTGCGGTTAAGGAAAATACATAATTATTCAAAGACTATATATGTCTATCTACCCGTTTTGTTCGTGCCAGCTTGTTCTATGAGGAGAGCGCGCGAAGAGTTTTCCTCCTGCGAGAATAGCACTTTTTCACTATCATGGACCTGTAACGTATTTGTCACATTTCAAATACGCCGGCCCAATAGTAGTTACATGCTAGCTCAATGTACTTTCAGCATAATATAATCCCACTTTCGTTTGTTACATGTAGTTAACCCATTGGCAAAGCCCACACATGCATGCCTATTTCCCGGCGTTGAACAGTCCCGCCTCACTGTTAGGCGACATGCTCGCCAATGGCTTCAATTGCCTAGGCTTTACCTGGGCATCATCACCTGCTGTCACCGAACTAGAGGTGATCGTCATGGACTGGCTAGCTAAAATGTTGGGCCTTCCTGACTGTTTTCTCCACTCGACGGGCGGCGGAGGGGGTGGAGTGATACAGGTGAGTTAAACGTTGAGAAGCGAAATCATGAGATTATTGTTATTATAGAAAAATAGGCATATATATATACAGAGAGAGGGGTGTGTGCACCTTTATTTTAGGCGTGGTCACACAAGACTAGCGAACGTATTTTAAAAGCAAACATTTAAAAAGGAACTTTCTACTGTGCCTCGTTTTGCTGTCCCTTCGAGACACCAAGAGATTGTGTGTGGGTTGACTCTCTGGAACTCAGTAAAAACAAAAGAAATAATGTATCGGTGTAAAAAGCATATCGGTCTCAAGCTAAGTGATTTCGAAGCTGGCCATCATGACTGAACCTAGAGCGCTATTTTCAGACGACCGCAAGCGAGGCCACCCTTTGTTCTTTATTGGCGGCCCGCACTGAAATGATCCGAGCCGAAAAATTGCGTGGCTTAGGATCCGCACAGCCTGTTGAGGACTGGCAAGTGATGCGTCGATTAGTGGCCTATTGTTCGGATCAGGCGCATTCGTCCGTCGAAAAAGCCGGATTTATAGGTAAGTTAGAGTAGGACGCACACGCATGGGTCCTAACTGCTAGGCAAGAAGCGATATGCACAGCGTCATAAAAAAGGGTCCATAAATAATCATTTCATAGAAAGTAATTCCAATGGCCCCAGCAAGAAACACTGCGTGAAGGTGCGACGATCTATTGTCTACACAATCTGTTGGAAAGATAAACTCTGCTTTGTAAATTGTAAAAAAAAAAAGTTTGTTTATCTACTTTTATTTCAATGAAACTTATTATATTGCGCTTTTACACTTATTATGCCCCATCGCGTGAACAACTATAAATCGTCCAATGGTGCTACAGAAACTTATTGTTATCACTGATTTTTCGACATTGTGCTTCTAAATAAATTTATATTTTATAACGATTTACATTTGATGACAGTTAATATTTTTAAAAGTAAGAACTGTATATATATATATATATATAGGGTAGGACGAGCAATCACTAGCTGTCCTAAATGACCAAAGATCTGATTCACCAGTTGCAATACATAAATATTTGTGCTTACAAACGTCTTGTCCTGTCCATCTGACCCGTTATAATCCTCTAGCTTATTATTAATGTCAAATAATATTATTAAAAAATCAAATAAGAAATTATTAAGACAATGTATGTATGCTTTTTAATACCCCATATCGGATCGTAGGCCTACTTCTCTCCCTATATGTATTCAATCTATTCGATGTAGAATCAGAAGGCAAACTATTTTTATTTATTTAAGTGTCTAATTTTAAACAATATATAAGTGTGAACGTAATGTCCCTATTGGCTTAATTAATCGTACTTAGCTCTTGTGTAATGGGAAATGGGCATGGGACGCGAACGAGGTCACCCGAAACGATTGTGATAGCATACGATGACAGTCGCATTGTGACGGATTATAACTGTTTAACATAACCCTGACCGGTCTTTTTTTAATATTCGTCACAGGTTTAGTAAAGATGCGCTACGTAGAGTGTGACGAAGAATATGCGATGCGCGGCTCCGTCCTTCAGGAAATGATATTGCAGGATCGAGCTGCTGGCCTTCTTCCGTTTTTCGTCTGCGCCACACTCGGCACAACGGGTTCATGTTCGTTCGACGATCTCGAAATTGTCGGACATATTTGTAAGACAAAATTATCCCATAAAGCAATGCATCTTTCTCACGCCGTCGGCAACTTATGATCGCAGGAAGCCCTACGATCATTGAATGCAGTTATGCTGAATTAATCAAGACATAATTTTTATCAAATGTTTAGTTTTCAACATAAAGCACCGCTAATCAATAATAGAGCCCGAGATGTTATTATAGTAAAGCTGCTTCGATTATTAAACGCACCTTTGTTTATTGACTGTGGGCTGGTGGCACCCGTATCGGAGGACAGGTCGAGATAATGGCGTCTGGCTTCATGTGGACGCTGCGTATGCAGGAACAGCTTTCATTTGTCCTGAGTTTCGCGAGTGGCTCCGAGGTGTGGACATGGCTAATACGTTCGCGTTCAATCCGTCCAAGTGGATGATGGTCCATTTCGACTGTACGGCGATGTGGTAAGCGTCTCCCTCCCGTGGCATGTAATTAACCTACCTACTGATCTAAATGTCAGCGTTGATTTCTGTTCGAAATTATGTTCAGTAACCAACCTAGCTAATGGGACGACCGTGACATACTTAGGATAATACTTGAAGATCGCTATAGTTGATGTGCTGTAAAAAAAAACAGTCAGACGGAAGGAGTTCGCAATATCTCATCTTAGATTCTGTTTAGGTAAAAAAAATGCCACTTGCTGGTACAAGTGAAGACTTCTTTTCATTTAACCAACCACAATATGTACAAGGTATAGGTGGGCTGCAGTAACGATTAATGTCAACCTGTGAGATGATAGGGAAATTTCAAAATAACAATTCATAACAATTAGATTCAAAATTTTAGTTTTTTTATTGACTGCAGCTAATTTCATGATCAAAAATGCATTCTCAAAATGATGTTTTTTTTTTTTAATTTTCTGATAGTCATAATCTAATTGAAACAGAAAACTTTGGCCTCATAGTCGAACCTCGAAGATGAGCACTGATTTCTTGGCTATATCAGTGTCAGGTATAATGTTAGCCATATTTTGTGTGATCTCCTCGGAAGGGTTCAAAATTCTCGCGCCCTTCATCGCACCTTCAACGTGGATCCTCTCTATCTGCAGCACGAAAACACTGGTCTGGCCGTGGATTACATGGTGCGCAAATCTTGGGTATCTATGGTGGCTTACATCTGTAGCATCAGAAGTGTATATATATGTACATCACGCGTAAACGTATAGCCATTAGTTTGCAACTGACAGATCCTCTCGCGGATTGTTTTCATTGCGCAGCATTGGCAGATACCACTGTCACGACGCTTTCGTAGCCTGAAATTATGGTTCGTGATTCGTCTTCATGGTGTTACGGGTTTACAAAGCCACGTCCGGAGGGGAGTTCATTTAGCTGAGTTATTCGAATCGCTGGTTATGTCTGATCAAAGGTTTGAGATACCCGCGAAGCGGCACCTTGGTATGGTCGTATTCAGGTAATTCATCTTCCTTATGGTCGTTTAGCGTTAATGCCAAACCATAGTACTATCAAACCTCGTTAAACTAATTTTCTGGCAAGTTTTGTCGACTTCCTTAGGAGAAATACAAGAGAACTATGGCCTTCAACAACTTACGGATTCCATCCACAGGGATTGATGCATTGTTAAACTGTGTTAAAATATCAATTTCTTTAGATACGAGTGTATAGATCCGGTACAGGTAACAATAGAAATATTGTCAGTTTCAACTTGCCTGTTGCTTTCTCTCAGACTCCGTGGTGCAAACATCCTTACGGAGAGGTTGCTGAAGAAGCTGAACTCTTCAGGGCGTATCCACTGCGTGCCGGCATCACTAAAAGGAATATACGTTATACGTTTTACGGTAACTTCGACTCGAACGACCGAGGAAGATATTCATTCCGACTGGAAACTGATAAAGGCAACGGCTGACACTGTCTTGGCTGGCTCGAAACCGAGGATTAAGCTAGCAAATATTAAGGAACAGGCACCAGAATTCGGATCATCGTTGCTATTGGCCAATACTCCAATGACACCGAAGGTTCACACCGACATCTTTGATAGCGTTTTACGTAATGATCACGTTAATAATGGTCTGCTGCATCAACTTCCAATGTACACGCCTCGGTCGACACACGAGCATAAGTAGTTTCCGGTTCTGTGTATAGAGGACACCTTAGTTTTATCGCTGTGTTTCGGGTAAACATGTTGTTCCATAAATAGTGGAAGACATAATCAAACTTAACTATTGTTAATCTTGTTCACGGATTTACAGGTTATCGACGGAAGCTTTGCGGCGTTGTTCGAGCAACTTAGTCCTGGTGTACAAAGTGCCGTGCAAAAGTGGTTCGGCAATGCTAAGAAACAGTCGGGGCCCCTAGATCGGTTAGACGTTGCGAACATAGCAAAGGCTTCTCGTTCACCAAAGAACAGCATCCCTGAAGAGCTTGAAGATGGCACCGAGAATCGAGGCAGAAACGTATCACCAAGAAGAGAGTAACGTAACGTAATGAAACGCTAATGAGGAAACATTCGTTAATACTCTATAATTATTGGAATTGACATAGTTTTCTTATTAAGATGCCCTTAAAGGGTAATTATTGTAGCTTAAAAGCCTCGGACACGGTGCAATTAGAGAGTTTTCAATAACGCTATAAAAAAAAAATGTCGTTTGAAAAACCACTGTAATCCCTAATAAATTTCAGCTAATTACCGAGGCTCTCACTACTAAAAATACTAATGATTGTTATCTGTTAAAGTGAAGAGGAGCGACTGAGGTCTTCATTTTCCTCTGCAAATAGTGATTTGAAATTGATGAATCGAGAACTAATTAATTAATAAATATTAATAATCCTATAATAAATAGTAATAAGCTAATTAGCTAATAATAATAATTTATCGACAATATTAACATCGTTCCATAGCTAGCCGCGTGCGACTTTCCAGACCTACATATACCTTCATTTGCCATTAACCTACAGATACTCACGTTGTATCCTCACGGCTACCTTTAAAGTCATGTCAATATATCTATATATATATATATATATATATATATATATATATCGAACATACAATGAATATCAAATAGAAAAAGGCTCTCATTTACCGTCCTCAAGTTTGTCCTACATGCGAAGTAACTGCGGACTATACGATTAGTCATCCGAAACTGGTTTTCTGATGCTTCTAGGCGTATAATAAACGAGTGTTAATGATTACGTACAGCTACCGTTGTTAGCATTGTACAGGACCGCGAGGCTTCACCAAGGTTGCTTTCAATGTAACTTCAACAAATTGGCTAACGACTGATCCCGGCAGCTCAGTTATGTCCGTGAGCCGCTGGCTAACGCTGTTTCATTAATTTTATCAATTCATAGTGGTCGATACCGAAATATAGGTAACACCACAAGCACTAGAAGAAGACCAGTAAGGAGGTCTATCATACGGATTTCTAGAAGTGTCGCTCTCAAATAATCAATTCTGACGACGGTATCCTAATAACTTTATCTATTCTCGTACGGTAAAAATAACCGACAATAGAAAAAATCTGATCGCTATGGCACGCTCTCCATTTTGTTCTTGCATAGTGTACTTACTTTAGTCACAATATTGCCGTAATTAACCATAGAGCATCACTGCGCTACAACGGATTATTCGAAGAAAGACTTGAAGATTGCTTTAGACGAAGGTATCATCTCATACGTCACGATACTCCTTTATACTAGAAACAGCTAGTCGATTATAATCACAGTCTTTATTACTATTCGGAGCCCATACCCATCGAATAAATTGTCTTAAGAAAAAAGTTAATGTACAATGTCAAACAAGGAGAGCAGCATTTACGAAATCAATAAAATTAAGAAACATCAGCAGACATCTTGACGTTATTACTATGTTGCGCAATATTAATAACGTTGAATATAATGGGTCAAATTCTAAAAAAAAAACGAATAAACGTCTTTAAAATGTAACATTTGATAGTGCTGATTCAAACGTACACATCTACATATACATACGCAATTTTGTGTGATGATGTGACATTTTAGTATATGAAAAAAGTCAATAATTTTGGTGAAATAGCAGACGATAAACATTGGATGGTTGACTCTCAGTATAGGCCTCTATTGTGTTTCCGAGTGGCCAAGAGCGATGAACAAGTGCTCCTTAGGTATACACTCCGTATCGAATGGATCACCCTGCAGATTAACGTCTAACATTATAAAATACCTATAAAAAAAGATCTTTCTTTCTAGTTTACTTATCTTTGTCTCTCCGTTAAAGGATTAGGTTTGCCAGAAACTAACGGCAGAAAAAAAAGTATGGCTTGTAGCAATATATCGCAGTGAATAAATTTATTAAATATTTGTCACTATTTTCGACGACCGTCGTCCATCTTTCGATTTATTTATTTCGACTCTTGGAGAATTTTTAGATTTGGTGTTCAATAAGTCATTGGACAAATTTCTAAGACTCTCTCCGTTACCAAATACATTGTATTGAATTTTATATGCCAAGGATCCGAAAAAAAAAAAAAAAAGTAATAATAATCGGCCAGCACGAAGTCTGTCCATTCATACTCTTATGAAGTGGTTGTAACAACCTGCAATTGGGTAGGGTATAGGTAGAAAATGAGGATTCGCTCAGTCGATGGGGTATCCAAGCTCTCAAGTTTAGTTTGGCTGCTAGGAGTTGCATGAACCCAGTTCATGCTCTTGGTAAACTAACGAGCTTTTACCACCCAGGTACCCCATCAACCTTAGACGGCCAACCGAAGAAAGGTGCACTTTCCAGTTCGAAAAGATCATCCTCGAGTTCAGTTATAGGGCCCTCGTCACAAATTATTCGAGCCATTCCAACACCTTATTAGTTAGTAAATATCGTAGAACACAACTTTCAGCAGAAACATCCATCTTTGTAGCTTCAACTCTAAATGAAGTTCCCTTTGATGCGCAACAAAATCACAATGAGTTCATGCAGGGGACGGAAAGCACTTCCGAGTGATATAAATATGTATGTAGGTGGACATTGCATTGTGATTCACTTGTTTATGATACGTGAGGATATCGCCATAATGTTACTTGTCAGTTTCAGACGGTCTCATGTGATAATATGCACGTAGGCAAACTGAAAACCCTATTTGTTTCATGTGTAAATTGTCAAGTTGACATGTAAAATTGGCATGCCAAACTTTCTTCTGCCATGCTTTCTTCACATGTGTGATCGTCCATCGCTGTCAATATTGGACGACTCGAAATCGTCGCTTTTGATTAGGTCATATTTAAAATATGGCTAGGTTTACGTCAAATGCACGCACATTGATTGTAAGAAAAGAAACAATAGTATATTTCGTGAACGTCTGTCTATAACAAAAGACAGATCCTTCTTGTTTTGAATTCAGTTTTGTTTCTTGGAAGTTGTTGTTTTATATCGTTATATATGGTTAGCAATAACTCGCGACAGGGATGGCACGGACTATTGTGAAAATAATTTATGTTTAATTTTAAGATGGTTTTTACAGATCTCAATAAATTAACGATTCGAACGTATTTACAAAAAAAAAGAACTAAAAAAACGCCACAAATAATTTAAAGGATTTACGCTCAACCACACTGACCGAGGGGTCATTTCAGTTTCATAGGACAGTCTAGACAGAAAGTTAGATAACGTCACGAGGCATATTATTCTTAATACATTTTTGACAAAGCTCCAGCATCGAACTTAGTAACTTTAAAGTGCTACATTTTTTTCCTACTTTCAACGCGACAAGCTTGAGAAAAGAAACTTAGATCATGGAACTTCCTCGATCGGGCTTGATATAATCTTTCCTATCGCAGTTGACGGCAACTTAATTTTTGTCTTGAAAATCAGAAACATAACTGAAACGGAGCTGAATATTATCGCTCTCAGGATTCGTTAGCTACTTGTGTAGGTATTTGGGTTGCAAAACCTGAATGTCGGTCGGGCTCAAACGTTAAAGGTTCAGCGATATGACCGAATCCTATCAGTCTAATAAATATACACCGAGGTTTAAATCAATAGAGATCGGTTCAAATCTACCTAAAATAAATTCACGAAAAACCTACGACGTACATTCGAATCAGGAATATTTTCAGCAAAAAAAATGTCCGCCACATGCACGGCTGACTTCTTCTGACCTTTGATAAATCCCCTTTTTCTTTACGTAGACTAACTTGCGCCAATTTTCGTTTAACGCACGCTTATTGTTTGGTATCACACAATCCATCATTCTGTGTTCGTATATTCGCCTATAAAAGAGCTTCCGCGCTCACTCGGTAAAAATCTATCGATGGTACCATTCGGACTCAAATCCTGTTTCTTGACAAACCTACGAGTGCTTCCTTGTTGTCGCTACCGCAAATGCAATCATCAGCCTTCAAGCAGGCATAAACTCGCAATACCTCAATGTATAATGCCAAATCAGAAGATTAGGACACAATCGATTCGAGCACTTTGCCCGTAGAATTCTGCATCCATGTGAGCATGTACGTTTATTAGCAAGTTAGAAAAAAATCATCATGTCTTTTGTTCTTATTGAGTTTCATTCCAAGACATATATGCCAGCAGTTGCATCAGGTGTCTGGTACCGTTGTGTGCTGTATCAGCTGCTTCGGTGGCGTTTGAGCTCTAAGTTACTGCTCATCATCCTTTGTTCTTTTAAAGGAATAAAATCACCTCTACTCGTGCCCAGTTTTATCAAGCTCATCGAAACGGTGCCCTCTCTGCCGCGCGTGCCGGTATTTTCGCTGTGTCAAGAGTGGGCAACGGCCCTTACGTGCGTCGAACGATCCGGTCGAGCACTGGGGCACGCCACAGTCGCCAGTCCTAACGCACCTGTAAAATTTTTCGAAAAAAAATTAACATAACTTGTAATTGTCGAGAGCGGGAACGAGGTAATCGAAGAGGCAAGTGGACTTGTAAACAGTCTAAGTTACACCAAGCTTTGTTTTTCTCGTTACAAGTTATTCGGTTCCATTGTAAATATAATTACATATGAAAAGTGTCGTGCAAAAGTTGCACACACATCAACACGTTTACCTACTTTGTACCGTTACGGTTTTGTATTATACCTGTTATCAAAAAAAAAAAAGAAAAAGATTTCTCGTTTTGTGTAGTTGATCATTTATCAAGCAACTTGAACTTTTCTTTCTTAGTCGATACGGGACTTCAGGCAGCAGGATTCATGGCGGGCGTTTTCGCTTCTCTATAAGCGCTAAAAAAATAAGCCCTTGTTGTCTCGGTTCCATTTCTATCATATTTGTGATCTTTGTAACATCCTGCGCAATAGCAGCGGGCATAGCGGTAGTCGCGCGAAACAAATTGTAACATGAGTCTCCCAACAGCAGAATCGGTCTGTGACAATAAACTTATAGACTGGAACACGGTCTACAAGGTCTTGTCATGCTGATTTCTTTTCGTTCGGGCAGATATCTAGGGACAGCTCACAATTAAGACACTGTGAAAAAGTCAAGATGGCGCAAGTTGTATCGACAACGCAATCGACAAATGGATAGTGTCATCGAGAGGTAAAGGTGTGCACGGCGAGATCATCTAACACGTCTATCTGCTACTGTGAAACCGGCAAAGAGTTGTTATCTCATTCATGCATATAAATAGTTTTATTTGCTCACATAAATTGTAAAATATTTCAAGTCTTACGTCCGGTATCGCCGTTAGGCGTTTTTTCGGACGTACACTATGCAACAAAGCACACAGCATCTAGAGGACTATTTCTGTCAGTAAAATAAAAATAAGAGAACGTTTCGGGACCCTTGGTAGAATACAATGCATAACAAAGATTTAGTATATAGTGATATAATTAGTTGTTTAGAGCACATACTCACACAAAAAAGGAACAAACAGTGTTCTATCAATCAATCTAGTTGAAGTATTTAGTTTCTAATAATGCTCACGCATATTGATCTGTAGTTTGGAGTTACTGGCTCATACTGACCTGACGTCCGTCTGAGGCATCCTCTTACGGCCTTTTTTAATAGCGGTGCACTTCACGTCTTGATCGAAACAGTCACATGTACACTGAAAATCTTTAAGGACTCGTTCGGCGAACGGTTCTGGGCAACGTTTACACCTGTCAAGAGAAAATTATTTGAATAAATGTGTCCTTATCATGTGCCTTTAGTTTGAATATGTTTCTAAACTCGATTGGTTTCTCTATGCGTTAAAAAAAAAATACGTTTGCGCTGGAAAAATCTATAGCAGTTCTGTTATCCCAACCTCAGTCGGCAGGATCAAGGTTTTCTGCCCTTGTGTGGGTTTCCTCCCTTACATCATTTCAGAGTGACCCATAAGTCACGTTGCAACTATTCGTACTTACCCGCATAGTCCCTATGGTACTGAATGTTACTGGTTGACTGTGAGAAATGACATATCTTAACAGACATTTTCAAAGTTGTATTTTAACCTTTATCAATGACCTAAAGATCAACCTGCTAACTATTGTTTACTATCTACCTTACTATTATCCTACTACTTACTTTATTGCTGTTAGAAAGCAGCGTTATTTTACCTGTGCTCCGGAATGAATTCCTCATCGGGTATATCGTCGAATGTCTCGTTTGCGTTGTCGTTTGAATTTGATGGTGTGGACGGGTTAGCGGCATGGATGTCTTCTGGTACTAAATCCTCTTCACAAGCGCACACACTATGGTTCGTGAAGGAAAGTTTGAGTATGTCGCTACCATGCTTTTGGGTCCTGTCAGCGGGAATCACATAGAAATAAAGATCAACCAACTCCTTCCGCTGGGCTTGACAGGTTCGCCCGTGTCCGCAGCAGCCTGACTGACTGTCGCACCTGAGAACGTCATACAAAATCGATCAAGTCTAAGGAAACGATTCGTCTCGCTTACATTATCCCGAGATCAAGGAGTGGATATCCATTTCACATTACTCCAGCGTAAAGGAACGCTTTGGACTGAGTTTGTTCTCTAAAGGGACCGTTAAGCAACTTCCAATACAAATCGCGTACGCTTGACTCGATCGGATTCGCTTAGAGCGTCAAAGGGGTTCTGCTTGTATATATAATGCTTATCCAAGAACAATAAGTTAAAGTGCGTGACTATTTCGCTTTGACGGGTCTGATCCTACCTGTGTAAAATGGTGCAGGATGGTAAATACTCAATAGACGCGTTCGAGTAATCTTTTTGCACCTCTATGACAACCGGCCGAGGGCTGTGGCATTTCGTCCGCTCCTGCATGTCTTCATAGTGGCGGTTCGCTTCGAACGTGGGCACATAGTCTAGCACAGAAACAAATAAGTGGTCGTTATTTCTCAATTATCTGACATTGGCGAACCACTTGCTGATAGAGAAGCTAGATGGACGGAATTCTATTGCACCAGGCCTAATCAAAGTTCAAGCATTGTGGTTCTATTCATATTGATCTTTCTGAGAGATTTGCCAAAGTTCTTCTTTAATGTCATCGGTAAATCTGTCCAGATTAGCATCTATTGAATGTCAGCCAGTGTGTTACAGGCGCTATGCAACAGCTACCTGGCCTCAGGGAAGGTCGAAAGGCTAACCTCGATGGTGACTTTGGCTTTATCAACTGAAACAAAAGCACAACAAGGACAGGGAAAAATGTTACTAGACATATACAACCAAGCATATTGCTACAAACAGAATTTTGCTTAAGCTTACTACTAACGACTAGCGAACTAATCAGACCGTAAAAAGCGCAACAACAACGAGAAGAGCTTAGGAAAAACACTGGTAACAATAATCAAATGGCAATGTAATAACCGTCACCCGATAATGGCCATCTAGAGCATATTTAGTTTATCTCTATTGTCTATGACAGCGTAAAACATTAAATTAAAGGACAAAAGTAAATTGAATCAAGCGGTTCACATACTTCGGGTACTTTCCGTACCCTGACCCGCCTCCTCATTTGATCTCTGTTATATTTTTCTCGTTCTCCTGTTCACATACAGCCTGCCTCTAGATAAAAGGGTCTATCAAGTCATAGTTTTGACTTTACTCTAACAGCAGGACAACAGGAAAAGCCAATTTAAGTTTCATTATAGAATTTTTAAGACAGTTAAATCTAGCAGATAGGGACGCGTTCGGCGGTAGTATCTGCTTTGTTCGGCAAGATGCACGTCGCGCTGCGCCTAGAAGACGGTACGAGATCCCAGCTGGCTTTGTGGCTCTATCTTCTATCTAAGATCCGCACAAAGGTATTTTCTCATGTCGCTGTACGTGAGACCCATGGCATGAAAAGCCGCGATGAAACGACTCATGCGGCGCACCTGGTGACAATGATTTCGAAAGTTTCCCTAAAAGTGGTATGCCATAGAGCGAATATGAAGCATATTACTACATTGATTCGGTGAAGGTTAATTTACAGGCCTCAATCAAAAGAGCGTATTGTAAGATATATGAAGGGCATTCAGGATTAAGCAGGTAATGCAGAAAAGTGTAGTAAGTTATTGTGGCTTTGCAAGGACGCAACATTCGTTGGAATTCTACAGGGTTATTGTTGCGGGACGTGGTCATCGCTGATCAACGGGATCTTTAGTCATTTCGCTTTGAACGCGCCAACTGAGTAGCGCTATTATTAACTTACCTTGTGCTCTCAATTTTCGTGTCAGACTCTATCAAAAAAAAACTGTCGACGCATCTAAGGCCTACGTGCTTCGACCATAGTGCCATTGGCGCTGCAGATACAACATCTGCACCTTCTTCAAACGTCCACTAATATTTCTAACAGTGTTCTTGAGGCCTACTCAACATGCCTTCGATTCTCGCCCACCGTCGCTGTCGCCCGACACTCGTCCGTTTACTTGATTCTATTTGAATGGTCCGCGAACGTTCGTCATATAACGAATCGTAGATAGTAGACTGGACAAGCCAACCCAGCGGGAAACCGTAGTTGGGTGGCGTCGATGGGAATATAGTTTTATCTGCACGCGAGTGTACATTCGACGCTCTCCACTCCTTGTTTGCCCATAGCGTAGAGCTTACCGTAAATATATGCGCTACGATGAAACAGTGAGGAGCTGTTGAGCAGGTTTAGGCCATTTAATGCTTTCAAAGCGAAACCGTGAATCAGATAGAAGACAGTGGAAGATGACCATGCTGGCAGCTGGTGCCTATAGTGAAGACCAATGAGTTGCCCTGCCATCTCCCAGTCTATTAAATAAATTATAAGTATGTATACAGCCTTAAAAAGAAGATGTTTAGATTATGGTTCTTAAAAAGTTCATGGAATAAGAAGCGTCGCCAGACCCGTCCTTCCCAATTCTACTATATATTATAAGATTCCCACTTATATTGTACATAAGAACAACGCCAATAATCAGAACAATGAAGCCGCTTAAGCCCCTGTTTAGTTACCATCTACCAGGTACGTTAGACTCTTAATGGACCTCGTTGATGTGACGCAGCGAGCGAGACCCCACCCCATTCGTTAACCATACGTAACGACTGCGATGTTAATAAAGAACGATCCCAAAGCATCAAGAATTCCCAAAAAACATGCAGAAATATCAGAAATTATTTTTAGCGACGAATAGTCAATTATGTTTCTAGTAGTCAATTATGTGTTCTAGTAGAGTGGTGGTCACGCTCGTTGCCCACCACCGCAATGTTATTCACATATTGTAAGTAAGCGGGGCAAAGGCACTATAATGGCCGAGACTGCTTTGCCCGCGAGACGCGGAGGCTGACATATCTTTCATCGATGTCATTTAGATTCAGCGCGGGCCCAACAATTCACTCGGTGGCTGACTCAACGACAACACGCTGGCGTGAATGTACACGTGGGGTAGGTCACGCGACATTGGCTAAAAAGAAAATTTACGATAGAGGCCGTCAGCAGTTCGTCACGAGGCGGCAGCAGCCGACTACCGTTGCCGATGGGCTGGTCAGCCGAATTGACTAGACCACCGGATATGCAAGCAGACACAAATGTCTATTACTAGAAATAGCCATTAACCTCGTACCGAACGGGTGGAATGGGCAGCGATGTACTATGGCACATATAATTCCGCGCTCGATGTTCTGCTATATAGTCTTTAAAAGTTTTAGCAGAATTCAATTCATGCCACTGCTACTGCTGTCGCCATACAACGGGGCATCTGTGGGCCACTTATATGGAAACGCGAATAGGCTTCGCTGGTCACCACGTCAATCTCTTCGATAATCTGTGAACATGTTATAGTACGTTTTGTTGCGTTTGTTTAAGTAAGCCACTTACTTACTAGAAAAACGGAATTAATGGCAAAAAGACCTATGAAGCTAGTTAATCGTGAGGTAATGCACTGTTTCCTATGAAACAACGTGACATAGGTCGCATGATTGGTTTCCATTCTATTGTTCTATTGACACCGATACGCAATCGACTCGGTTATATTCTCTATTACGCGTCCTCCTTGGGTGCACCAGTTCCCTAAAACAAGCCCATCTATGGAAGTAGGTTCACTAAGAAAAGCTGAAGCATAGGAATCGTTCTGCCAGTCTGACGAGCCAGCATCACTGTTCTGTCTAAGCATATGCCTACGTGAACATTCAGGCCCGAGCAGGCTGCCCTTTTGTGCACTAAATACCTGATTTACTACCTTGTGCATCTGCCTGAAGCTTAGCTTGGTATAGGAGCGCAAATCCCCCTAAGACAAAACCATGCAAGTAGGCTTTCGTTAACATAAAGACGGAACACCTCCGCTAATTTCCGACACAGTCATACGTGATCCTCTGTTAACATAAGGGCACATAGTTGTTCGTATTCGACAAACTTGAATAGACTGTATATTTGTACGTTCAACATTTGTAGAGTTTGTCTGAGAAGAAATCGGTTCAAACATGTCGAGCATTGAATTCGTTTGAAGGGTGGTAATTAACCACAAGTTCCAGCTAACTCTTGCTTAGTAAATAACTTTAAACAAAGTTCCTTAGAAATGTCCCTAAGAAGCAGCAGCACGTAGCGAAAGCACAGCTACATGAAATCTGTGACAGCCAATTTCTAGCTCGAACTAAAATGCTAAAGTACAACACGACGCCCCCGAACCTTTGGATGTTGTAATTTATTTCTAGGCTGAGACACGTTCAAGTAAGGTTTAAGTGTTTTTTTAAAAACAAAAGATTTAAATTAAAAACCGTAGTTGAAATTATAGACACTCCTCACTTCTTAACGTAATATCTAAACTAGTGTTTTATCGAATCTTCTATATTTGAAGTAAACATAAAAGATATAGGCCACAAAGGCTCAACAAGATATGCACTGAAACGCTACGTTGAGAAATACGAAGCATTTTCGACACTTAAATTGTGTAATCAGGTCATAAGTGTCCTAAAAAGAAACTGTAATCTAAAAAGATTGGATTTATTCTTTAGTAGCTCAGTAGTTTATTCAGTAACGAAGGAACGGCGCCTTTTTTTTTTATTTAGTCTTGACCACTGCAACAATAAGAGTAACTCTTATACATAGACATATGAATATATGCCAACATCAAACCCAATTCAAGTGGCAATGCGCGTCATATCTCTCGCGGTAGCCTTCATAGGACGCTTTGTCATGCCTTCTACGCGAGGGTCCCGTAATAGACACGATTGTGAAAGACCGAACTCTATTCTCGGTTCATTTCCTGTGCGGACATGGTCTAATACATCTTGTTTGTAGCTTCTATTTTCAAGTTCCCGTTTTGCGGAATGTTTTGTTCGAGACTCCTTAACCCTATTGAGTCGGAGAAAACGACAGACAAGAGTTTGTTAGTGCGTAACTGACGTTTCCTGCAATTGCCAGTTTTTCCCTGCGTGTCTGCACGTGTATGCATGGACTACGGTTCGCAGCGCCTACATGTGGCGATAGCAGGAAGTCGAAATCAATTACCTCCGTGACATCGTGGCCGTGCAACGGTGGCATCTCGTAGGTTTATTCTGCTCTCGTTGACTTGCATTTTGACAGTCAAGGCAAACCAATATGGGCTTTTTGTCGTTCTTGAAGGAACATTCGCGTGCACACAAAAATCAGCCCCGAGCAGGACAAAGGCAAGGAAAGCTTTTCTGCCATTTGGTTGCCACCGTAGCCACTAACCCGTGCCAGATATTCGGTCAGCCTGTAAGGCTCATCAGTAAAAAGGCTGGCAGGAAAAAAGCAAGTACTCCTATTCCGCGCTGTACCCGCTATAGCAATGACTGTTGGCACTTTTCGCCTCTATTTCTTGAGTCCGCATGTCGTTCAGTGAGTTTGAGATATTCTGCTGACCCAGAGAAAAGGTACTCCGTAGAATTCACAGTCGTTTTTTGCTATTTCGAAACTAGCTAGCCTTGATTCGTGTTGCCGGTAGCACTTTGACAGCAAGTGATGGGTCTGAGGCTGCACACTGCGGATCTACTGTTGAAGCTGTGTATTTATATCGACATATCAGTTCGTAATTTGTGTGTACAGTGATACATATGCGTCCGGTTCGGCCTTAAAGCCGATTAGAAAGAGAAAACACTTGTAGAGAGGTAAATACGACACATAAAGGAAATTCTATTAATGAGATTGGAAGGTTACTTGGGCTAGAGATCCGACGAGTGCGATCGGACCGTCTAGAGCGCAGCTAGTCGTATCGTAGCAGCGGACAAAGCAATACGACGATGTTAATTTGAGCAGAAAAAGAGTCTGAAGTCCACACAGATTTCTATGCGATATTTTGATGAAGGTCAACTGTTACAATTGAGAGATAAGCATATTGATGAAGGTATCCCTAACTCGAAAAGGAAAGCTTCTTTTTTTTAATTATGTTTGTTGAAACCACACAAAGGGTAAAACGATATCGTAATATGTTTCAGCCATGTTTATGCTAATTGAATTAACTGTGAATGAGCGACACATCACGCTCTATGGCTGGCAGTGCGCCATATCGAACCCGATTCGTTCAGGTAACAGACGGCCATGTTACAGCTGTGCCTCTTTCAGTGGGTAAGCATGTCGAATTAGCCAAACAAGATGTCGTCTCACCTAATCGCAGTCGTTCAGACACTGGAAAACAAATATCCCGCCAACTATAAAATGCAGATATATTTTACGAAAATTAAAGCAGTAGCTGTACAACCATGTCAAACGTTTAGAAAACGATTTTTCGTATGTATTTATTATTAGTATCATTTTTTATATTATTATCAATGCAGTGATCTGTTATTTCACTTGTAGCTTGACCTGTTCAGCGTCCATTGGAGGTTGAAGCCACGGATATGTAATAAAATTATCTATATATAATAGTGGATGATTAGGAGAGACAAAAGCCTCTCACTTTCCTTAATCCTCGATTTTTTATAGACCTTTGATCGTATATATACATCACTTAAACATTAAAGAGGCTTTCTTATATTGCTGATCACTTGAGTCATTTTCACGGTGTTTATTGATTTTACTATTATAACATATTGTAGAATCTGGAATTTTTTTGCCTAGCAATGTACCTTGAGCATAAGGTCGACAAAACAATACAGCCATGCTTCAGGGACACAGCTAGCCCCTGTGTCAAGCACAGATAGAGGCAGCAAACTACGGATACTAACTACTTAGACATACGCCTTCGAAGAAAATGCTTGTGATTGAATGATACGAAACTTAGATAATAGTCCAAATCGCTAAAAGGCGACAGTTTTCTGAATTATTCCAATCAGTAAGATTGCAATACTCAACATCACCGAAAGAGGGCGTTACCAGCTGCACTGGTTGGTTGGTATCTATTAAAAGTTGTACTCGGCGGAATTAAATGCAAGTGGCGCCCGTTAGTTATTCACTGGTATTATCACTGGTAAGTATGTATATTTTCAGTAAATGTTATTCCGCTTTTTATAAAATATAGAGATTATTATGTCATGAAACGTATGGACAGAGTCCATCGGTGAAAGTGTTGACATTCTGTAGATAGCGACTAATAACTATAACAATATTTTGCACTACTCTAAAATGTTTTAACCTATCTTTGATGTTCGCTGAAGTTCTGGGCAACCCATTTGTATACGTATGAGCAACATTGGAAGCAAAGGCGATTCACTTACTTCTGATTTTATCCCATCCCCTTTCAGCTCTTCGGACCAGTTCACCTGACCAATGGTGATCTGTCCTCGCTTTGTTTTTATCAATGATCTTTTAAGTTACCTCAAATATGTAAGGCATAAGTAAGGAAGCTGTGGTAAAATTTATTGGACACTAGGGTTTTTCCTTCCT